TGTTGCGTATTAAATCTATGCAAAGGGCGGGATTACACACGAGTAAGCCATCTTGCTATAGGGTGTGCTTTGTACTAGCTTTGTACTACCTGCGTCCAGCTACACGAGCCACCAGACGTACCTCAGGAAACTCCTTCATCCAATACTCCACCCGCACCAATTGTTTTAAACACTCCTACATTCCACGTACCATCAAGGACTGGAACTCACTACCCTCCGACATCCAAAGGACCACGAACATTGACACCTTCAAACTCCAAGCAACCAACTTTTTCCACAACCAAGACTCAAGCAATAAGAACTAAACAAGCACAGTGCGCACCCCCTCATTCCTCCTCGCTTGGTTCCTTACGGAACGTTGAGGAGTACTCCCGAAGAAGAAGAAGCTGCAAAAGCCCGAGAGATACACGGGGCTAATTCCCGTCGACGTCCAAACTTAGAGACCTATTTCCATCATGATTGCCGCGATTTTGATATAGTTTTCGTGAATGGAGGTATGAAATCAAAGCTTATTTTGTGATTATTACGGACATGTATATAAAATTTTGATCATCATTTTCTAAAGGAAAGTTTTTACAAGAAAACCATTGGACTGACAGTTTAGTCGCAAGCTGCCTTCAGTCAACACACAGTGCAGTGCTGCTGTGCAGTGTGTGAGAGTTGAGATGAGCTTGCAGGAAGCTCCAACACAGGCACCGCGACGCCTGCGGCGCCGGTGTTGACCATCCTGGAGTGTGTGTGAGTTCAGCTGAGCTGAGCTTGAGTCGAAGAGATTTGACACTTTGAAATTGTTATCTGTTGGTTTGCATCATTATTGCCGCGATTTCAATATAGTTTCGTGAATAGATTTACGAAACCTGAGCTTAGAATTAGTAAAAGTATTACTAATGTCTACGTTTTTAAACTACTGTCTGATTTTCTTGTGAAAATTTTACTTTGAAAAATGATTATCGAAATTCATGGTCAGAAATAATCACAATCTAGGGTCTATATTACGTTACAGTTCTTGCATCAAATCAGTGCATGAAAACTTAGTTATTGAACTAGAAAAATGTTGTGTTTTTTTTTAAATAGGCAATTATGAAGTAGGAAGCCTGAAACCTTAGCCTACTAAACAAATCTCAAAGTGTAGGCCTATCCTTTGATGAATTAATGAAAAAGTAACCCCAGAAAAAAGAGCCCCCGAAAGTTGAAAAAGTAGCCCCCGAAAATTTCCCAAAAATTTGAAATGGAGCCCCCTCTAGAATCCCGCGGATTTCCGCGGGTCCTGAGTTGAGTGTATATATAATATAGGCGTGGGGTCCACGGGTTTCAAGGGGCCATAAACCCCCGAAAGCTCGGGGGGTTTAGGCATTTAATTAGGGTCAGATGAGCATATTTTTAATACTTTATTTGTGACACTTGCGGGTCACTAATTGGCGTGGGGTTAATACGTAGAATTGCGTAGTGTTGCGTACCAACTTCGCTGGCCTACGTTACTATATGCTGAGGGATGGAAAGGGGTACGCAAGATGAATGAAAACAATTCAACATGTTTAATTTTTTCGCGTACTTTCGACGTAGAAACTCGACGCAGAAAGTACACCTTTTTACGCAACACTACGCTACATGACTACGCAACAGTACGCTATACCCTACGCCAGATCGACAAAGCAGTAAAAGTTTTCCACACAGTAAGCAACCATAAGCAAACCTGTACGCCAGCTTACGCATAACCTACACAGGGACAATTTTCCCATTAATACGCAGCCTAATTTCTGCGTAGTCGGTACGCCACACTACGGAACTCTACACAGTTCCAGTGGCTTAAAGAATAACTACCGGTACAGTTGGATCGTTTTTTAAAATTTTTTTATATAAGGCCAAATTAAAAAAAAAACATGTTTAGCGTCCTGTTTTTTCGAAAAATGGGAATGAGGAGGCCCCTTTTTTTTTTTCTTCTTTCAAAATGGCCCCTCCGTACATTTTCCCTGACATTTCGGGCTATTTTTCAAGATGGCAGCCGACAATTTTTTTTTTTAAATCAGAAATACATTTTAGCAGTGCTCTTCATTTTTTTTTTCTTTCAAAAAAAAAAATAATAAAAATTAAAAAAAAAATTAAAAAAATAGGAGGCGGCCCCCAAAAAGGAAGTAAACGGGGACGCTGTTTTTTTTCTCTCTCTCTCTCTCTCAAAAAAAAAAAATTTTAAATTAAAAAAAAAAAAAAATAGGAGGCGGCCCCCAAAAAGGAAGCGGGCGGGGATGCTAAACATGTATATTTTTTTAATGGCCTGAATGGCAAATAAAGTTCTTGACGATCTCTATATATCTATTTACACCCCCCGCCCCCTCTAGAATCCCGCGGATTTCCGCGGGTCCTGCTAGTCTGTAAAATAATATGCACTTGATAATCCCAGGCCCAGGGGGCCGTTTCTCGAAACCGTCATAACTACAAGATCAACGACATCTCGCCACTGTCATTCAAGCAACTTGTCAGCTAAGTGTTTCACGAAGCCGTCTTTGCCAAGATGAGCGACAACTTGGGCGACAATGAGTTGTAACATAAATAAAAGAGATAAGAATGTTACACACCGTTGTCCATAGTCGATCCATAGTCTTTTCTTAGGATACCATCATAACTTTGGGGCCTAACTGTTACTTAGATCTAGACTCTATGTGCATTATTATTTCCTCTCTAATTACTTCTTCCAAATTATATTTTCAATATCAAATCAATTATATAACGAGTATTTATGAGGCTCTAGAATAAAAACTGGCTGAGAAAAGGTATTTTGCCTAAAATTCCTCGTCACAATAAACAAAAAAAGTATGTATTGATAAACTATCACATTACGGTATCCTTCAACTACCTTTGATTGGACTGTCGAGAAAAAAAGAAAAAAACACCGGTTTTTCTTCAATTTAAGAATCTTTACAGAAATATGCAAATCGTTTGATGATCTACATTTGATAATGACACTATTTATTATTTATTTTAGGAGAATTTATATCTCTTTTTGAACAATTTTAGCCCCAAAACTTGTTTTTGGTTATTCATGATAAATCAAATGGATCGTGACAAAGACTATGTTCTTGAGCTGCTAGTATCGCGAAATATCGATATCATGTCTGTCATGGCTTTGTGAAACGGTTTATCCACTCCATGACATCTCCGTAGGTCGCCGACAAAGATATGACTGTCATGGAGTTGGTTTCGAGAAACGGCCCCCAGAGCGTTTCTGGCCATTTACACACCCATAGGTGTATTACTATCCTGGCATTGTGTATTACAAGCTGTGTTATTGATTCATTTCAGACACCACTGTACAAAACTCAACTGATTTCACTCAAAATCGGTACTTTAGTGAGGATTGATGAAGATCTAAAATACAATTTTTCAACTTTCTGATGTTAGAAAGATTGAATAATTTAAAAATTCAAATTATGAGTCCACTGTAAAACTTGCTGATCAGCCGCATCGCCATGATTGTGTGCATCTGTGTGTTATGAGTGTATTGACTAATCATGTATTCAATTGCTGCCTACGTAGTGCAGTGCTAGAGGTCAATACGCATTAGCATTGACTCTATGCTTTGCTGGAGTGGCCATTTAGTCATTCCTAATTATGAATTACAATGAAATTGTAAAGCCCCAGTCCCATATAAAGCCGGACCAGCACGGACGAGCACGGACCACTCCGGACCATCCCGGACCATGGTCTGGGGTGATCCGGGATGGTCCGGGATGTTTTGTTAAAAAAAGTGTGATGCTTTTAAGCTACAGTCCCATATACGTCCCGGACCGTCCCGGACCATCCCGGACCCCATCCGGGGTGATCCGGGATTCGGTCCGTGTTGACACCGTGTTGGCACCGGGGTGGTCCTGGATGGTCCTGGGCGGTCAATAACTCACTCCCGGACTGCCACGGATCAACACGGACCGCCCCGGTGCCACTACGGATGACCCCGGACCCAGCACGGTGGCTACACGGATCACCCCGGATCAAACTATTGTCCCGGACCGTCCCGGACCACCCCGGCAGTTTTTGACCGTCAAAAACATCCGGGGTCGACTCCAGGACCGCCCAGGACCATCCAGGACCATCCAGGACCATCCAGGACCACCCCGGTGCCAACACGGTGTCAACACGGACCGAATCCCGGATCACCCCGGATGGGGTCCGGGATGGTCCGGGACGGTCCGGGACGTATATGGGACTGTAGCTTAAGATCCTTAGTTGTAGGACAAATACAAGGACATTCCCGCAATGACGTCAAATACGTCATCAAGCCACGTGACCGTACTATTAACCTTATTTGAGGGGTGGAGCCCAGCAAGCGTGAGATCTGTGAAAAATGGATGGTTATCATTTTTGGGTCAATAGACCTAGACCCCTATAGATCTAGATATTTTCTGAAAAATCTTAGGGGCATGTGTTTTAACACAAAGAAGTGCTATACCATGAGCATCTGCAACAAGTCTTCCTTCTTCTACCAACTTAGTGGCCACATCCTGAAATATGTCCAAGACATCTGTTACCTGGGAGTCACAATCTCAGAGGACTTGAAGTGGGAGAAACATGTTGCAAAGACCACCCAAAAGGCAAACTTGGTCCTATCCCTCCTTTGCAGAAACCTCCAATTCTTTCCTGCAGACATTAAGCGAACAGCCTACACTGCACTTGTAAGATCTCTCCTTGAATATGGGGCTACATCCTGTGATCATTATCTCCAGAAGGACATCAACAGACTTGAAAACGTCCAAAGACGAGCAGTTCGCTTCATCACAGGATGACCAGAGATGAGGGCTTCATTACCAACAAGTTTGTCGAGCTCCATCTCCCTAGCCTAAAGGAAAGAAGGAGAAACCTCAAACTAACCCTCTTCTTCAAGGTGGTCGGGGGGCTGGTGCCAGCTCTCCCGATTCAAAACTTTGCTCAACCAATCAAATCAAAATGACGTATCCGTGCAAGACAATTTGAAAACTGTAATACCTCAAATATCATAGAGAGACAAGTGACAAACAACAGCAAGTGCTACAACCCCATCAGAGCACAAACTGAAAACTACAGGAGCTCATTCTTCCCATCTACCATCATTGAATGGAACCATTTGGATGAAAACACCATAAACTCCACATCAACCAGCACTTTCAGGAAGGCCATCGACAGAGCCTTCTAAGTACCCCCGTGCCCTCTCTCTCTACCGATGCGTTTATGCCCAGTAGGCACTGGCGTACCTATGGGGGGGGGCAGGGGGGGCAGAGTGCCCCCCCCTGACGGGCTCCAGGGGGAAAAAAAGAAAAGAAAGGGAAAGGAAAGAAAAAGAAAAAGGAAAAGGAAAGAAAAAAGGAAAGAAAGAGAAAAAAGGAAAAAAGGAAAGAAAAAAGGAAGAAGAGAAAAGGAAGAAAAAGGGAAAAGAAAAGGAAAGGAACAAAAATGAGGAAAAAAAATAAAGAACATGGCCGTAAGCATCAGGGGGGGGGGCAGTTGACCCCAGATATTTTGAAATCGTACAGTTTTTTTCCTGAAAATGTAGTGTAGGCCTATACCAAATCCTTCAATTCTACTTTTGAAAATGCAAAAGTACCCTCATGACCAGTTCGGTCGCTCGAACTCCCTTCACTCCTTTTGCTTTTGAGATTCTTCGAAAACTTTTAACGCATCTTTCCCCCTTCCCCCATCAGAAAAATATTCCGCATACGGCCCTGAAAAATTAAAACAAATGAAAATAGGAAAATATAAGTGATATAACAAATTTGAAACTCTTCGCTGGCGCGAACTGCTTGCTAGCCTATTTTGTATTAAATGTTTTCACTTCCTCATCCCCCTGAAAAAAGAAAAGGATTAGTATTGCCTAGAATGCAATTGTGCCTGCCCCGACGGGCCCCGACCTGCAACCATGCCAACAATAACACACAATATATGTACCAAATGTTACTAAAAGAGACTAATTCATTTTTCTCGCTCGCTACACTCGCTCGCGAATAAAATGAATAGACATTGCTTTGGAAACAATTGTGCCCACCCTTGACCTGCAACAATATCATTAAAAATGGAAGAGTTTTTTCGCCCTCTCGCCAAAAAGGAATTGAATCGCGTTAAACGCGATTGCGTCCATCCTGACCTGCACCAATAAAAACAAGTTTATTTATTAATTTCTATTAAAAGAGAATTTATTTTTTTTGCTTGCTCGCTATGCTCGCTCGCCAAAATGGAATTGACACCGCTAACGTGCCCGCCCCACCCTGCAACAACCAGTTAATAATTATGTACGAAACGTTATTCAAAGAAGTTTTGGTGTGCTCGTGCTCGCCAAAACGGAATTAACATCACCTTAGACATGATTGTGTAAGCCCTGCCCTGCAACAAAAAAATCTGAAATTTATGAACCAATTATCATTACAAAAATTTTGCTCGCTCGCTACGCTCGCTCGCCAAAATAGAAATAACACCGCTTTTAATAATCACGTCCCTGACATGGAACAATTAAACCAAGTTTATATACCATATTTTCCCTATAAAGAGAAGTGATTTTTTTTTTGCTCGCTCGCTACGCTCGCTCGCCAAAATAGTATTAACACCGCTTTTAATAATCACGTCCCTGACATAGAACAATGAACCCACGTTTTATGTACCATATTTTCCCTATAAAGGAAAAGTGATTTTTTTTTTCGCTAGCTCGTGGAATTATGTGCCCACCACTAACCTGCTACAATATCATTAAAAAGAGAAATGTAGGGGGTTGCCTGCCCGCCAAAATGGGATTGACATTGCCTTAAACACGATTGTGCCCGCCCCCTACCTGCAACAATGAAACAAATTTTATATAGCAATTCATTGAGAGAAAGATGTATTTTCGCTCGCCAGCTAAAATGGGTATAAAATCACCCTAAACACAATATTGTTCCCGCGCCCTGCATGGGACAATTGAACCAAGTTTAAGTGGCAATTATTAAAAAAGAAGTGATTTTTTTCTTGCTCGCTACACTAGTTTGCAAAAAAATGAAATTAACGTCGCTAACAAGTGAATGTTCCCACCCCCAACTTGCAACAATACCAGTTTATATACCAAACGTTACTTAAAGATTTTTTTTTGCTCGCTCGCTCGCTCGCCAGAAGTGAAAATTAGCATCGCCTTTTTTGTTTGTTTCGGTCGCTTGCCCCCCCTGACGGAGTACACCAGGTACGCCACTGCCAGTAGGGCCCTGCATCGTACACATCCAGATCCAGAGGTGTACTCATGTTTTAAAAGGCTAAGTTAGTTGGGTTAAAGGGGACCTTTATTGATGAGGAAATCTCCTGTATCTAAACATAATTGCTCATTGATTGATACAACTTTTTTCTTTCTTGTTCTTCTTCAGCTGTGTTGAGATTCGAGAGGATCAATCAGAAGATGTGGAAGAGTTCCACTGTCCAACTTGCGCAGTAGTCCACGGACCTACAAAATGTGAGTAGTCAGTTAACAATGCCATTATGAGTTTACAACGTAATGTGTATTGTGTAGTGCCTAGCATATGAAGAATGCAAGTAGGAAGGTGGTAACATTTAACTTGTTGACTTCTGTCATTTTTGTTTCTTTTACAGAAGTATGCTTTGTGGCTCAAAATATTTTGATCAGTGATGTATTCTGGACTTATAGAACCTTACCATGTTTTAACTTATGCATTCTTTAAAAAGATGTACCACGATTCTCAGTTTCATTACATGCTATGCATGGCTGTATATTATGTGTTTGGTTTAGTTTATTTGAATAAAGAACAAGTGTATCACATTTTTGTTTTAAACCTTAAATAGTTAACATTTAGCTTATTTACTGTTCACATTTAGTACATGTATGCATGGGTATTCAAATATGTTTATAATTTCTATGATATTGAAGTACCGGTAGCTTCTTCTCTTCATGCTTCAGTGCTGAAATATGGTTATAATATATAATTTCTTTTTTGTTTTGAAATTATTTCTTTCTTTTCACATTTGCAGTGAAGAAGAAGAAAAATTGGCACAGACAGGACTACACAGAAGAATATGATCCGACCAAGGTAACCATTCCTCTTGAACATTTGTGATGCAAACTTGCTTCTAAGATTTTTGGATACATATACAGTCAAACCTGTCTATAGCCAAAGGAAATGCGAAAAGTGGTCTTTGTAGGCAGGTGGTCTTTGTAGACAAGTTGGCGTTGGCAGCCATTTTAATGGGTTATTGTGGCCAATCACAAGTAGATGTTTATTCAGGAGCATTTCGGTGTTTAGAATAAACGAAGAGTGGTACGGTTTTAGTCAAAATAAAAATATGAAATGATTTAACATATTTTGATTTCTTTCAAATTATCCAGCTTTAAAAAAAAAAAGCATATCAAACATCATTTAAAAGAAATAAAAATGAACATGCCTGAATGATTGATTGACAGACAGTGCACCACCCACTTGCCAGACCTTTCGCAGGTTGGCCAGTGCACGAACAAGCGAGTCATCGATCGCAAAGTTCTTGACAATGCCGCTGTATTAAATGTACATGTATTCAATAGGCACAGCCTTGTAATGAAATGTGCGAGAAACTATATCCTGCCAGTTATTAAATGTTTCTATTGAAGTTTTAATAAAAACTTGGGGTTGATAGTTTTTTGTGTGTAAATGACCGTTAGATCTAGGCTGCCGCTGTACGAGCGGTCGCCGATCGTCTAGCTGTGTAGTGACCGTATCCAGCAGAGAGAGTGAATAAAATTGCTCAAACGCTGTTGTTGCTGGTCGCTTGGGGAAGCAAAATGAGTAGCCTCTTGTTGCTTTAGGCAGGTGGTCGCTAAGACAGGTTTTACAATTTTTGCTTTAAATAAGAAATATGAAACTGAGATGATATACATGTATGAATGCTTACCTTTTTGGTGTAAATTGAACACATCTATGTCAAGAAAAGATATTGACCATAAGTATGTATCGATGAAATTTAATTCCATGTACATGTACATATCTGATTGTATTTGATCAGCAGTGAGAATCACACTTTATGTCCGTCATATGAGACTTTGTCTCACATTACACACCTATTCATATTGCCTTCATTCCCCTTCACACAGCCTGTACAGATAGGAACAGCCGTGTTTTTACGGCAGCTGAAAAACAGAGCTTTCAGGCGGGCAGATGAGATTCTTCTGCATCCCAGAGGCCATGAGTTGACGGTGGATTTCCTGGACAAGAATGGCTTTCAATCTCCCATCATGATAGACAACAAGGAGGGGCTAGGACTCATTGTGCCCCCGCCCACATTCACTGTTGCGGACGTGGAGGAGTATGTCGGTAAGATTCACATTTAAAATGAAAACTCAACCCCCTTCCCCCTCCCACTACCTGTGTCTTCATCCATAGGTTGAACGGATCTGCCATCAAGTACTGTCAGTTGGATTATATTTGTCATCTATTTCATTAAATACAGGTTAAAATGGGAAAATGAATGCCAAGACATATGTCATAATTTTCTGGCTACAGGCAAGTGATATGAACATTGGTTCTTTTTTCAATTATTCAGTACCACATTAAAACTTTGAAAAAAATTCACAGGTTACAATTAATTACCATACATGATTATGATGTGATTAACTGATAGTGAGTATTGCATCACCAATTTCTTAGTGATCCGGGATTAAGTTCTTGGACTCGGGCAATCTTTGCATTTTATATTGCTGCTAAGGATTCTGTATTAAAATGGCCTATAATCATTTGTCCTCCACAGGATCTGACATGGAGTTTGATGTCATCGACGTCAGGAAACAGGATGAGATGAAGATGTCGATGAGGGATTGGTCAGATTACTTCACAAGTCCTAGCAGAGATAAGATTCTCAATGTGATCAGCTTAGAGTTCTCACAGACAAGGTAGGTCGGATTGTCCTGTAGCTCCTCCTTGCTTTATCTTGATTTTCATTTCACTATTTCATTTCATTTCCATTCTATCATATATGGTTGAGCAACGATTGCTCCATCAACAGTTTTTCCAACCCAAATTCCTTTCTTCAATCGGGGTCCTAAAATAATGCCTAACCCTGATTCCAACCCTAGACAAGATTTTTGAGATGATTAGCACACGTTACTGTACAATTTCAGAGGAAATGTTCTCCGAAAAAATATCTCAGAGAAGTGTTAATCAATGTAAAATTTCTCTTGAGGCATTTGATCTCTTTGATCAATCTTTAATAGCATTTGAGATTGTTGATGTTTTACAAAAGTTTGGATAATAATTTAAAAAAGAATTAGATAAATTGTTTTTGTTACCGCTATCCTTCTTGTTCTTTGTAGGTTGTCAGATCTAGTGGAGGCTCCTAGGGTCGTGCGGAAGATCAGCTGGGTTGAGAACATTTGGCCAGAGAAGCTGCCTGAGGACTGCCCTTATGACAGGCCCCGTGTATCCAAGTACTGCCTCATGAGCATCAAAGACAGCTATACAGACTTTCATGTCGACTTTGGAGGAACCTCTGTCTGGTACCATGTCTTAAGAGTGAGTCATTATGTACAGAAATTTTTGTGATATATACATATATATATATATATATATATATTTTGTTAGAAGAGGAACAGTGGTTCTTTCTAGTATATATACATATTAAAAAATATTATACAGATATTGACTGGCAGGGGATGTAATAGAACATTCTTCGAACCTGAAGGGAAAATATAACTCCCTTCAGCAGTCCAAGGAATAAAAGAATATTTAAAAAAAAATTATCAGATAAACTCTGCAGGTGCGCTGCTCATGATGCTTTACAGTGTCATACCTGTATGTCTGTCATGTTTAGTTTTGTATAGAAGCTCAGTGTTCCTATTAGTAAATACATTCAATATGAACATAGCATAACTTTTGTAACTGTAATTTGCATTTCCATTTGTTGTGTTATGCAGGGAGAGAAGGTCTTCTACTTTGTGAAGCCAACAGAGGAAAACCTTAAAGCATACGAAGCCTGGAGCAAACTTGAATCGGACAAACAGAGCGAGACCTTCTTTGGAGACAGAGTGGACATCTGCTACAAATGTGTGGTCAAGCAAGGAGAGACATTGTGCATACCAACGGGTAAGTCAGTGCTCAACTCCATGAATTGAACTTGATTTTTGTCTATTCAGACTGACCAACAATTGAGGATCTTTTGGGTAATTCCATAAAAATGATAACACAATTACATAACATTTTTGTGTGATAATCTTGCTTGGGATCGATTTGGTTGCAGTCACAGTGAATCATAAAACCACTGTTGAGTTGTGAGGTGTACTGCTTAACATTTTCTTTTCTTTTACAACTTTAGTGAGAATCTTAATTTTGTCATTGCTGGGGCCATGTATGCTATATGAACACTGATGGGTAACTAAGGACTATGAAAGGAATATTATAAAACAGTATCAATTTACCTTTAAAATACCATTTTGTGTCAGAAGAACCTTTCTACTGATATCCCCACTCTTGCCACTGAAAACAAACAAAAAACAATATTATGGTACAATTAGTTTGAATCATTATCTACCTCATTCCATTTATCACATATAAGATGCGCAAGATCATGATCTTAAGTTGATTTGCATTTTCAAACATAATGTATCAAATGAATATGTGGATACTCGTTTTGTTAATGAATGTTGGTTATTTTATATTGCATCTTTCAGGTTGGATACATGCAGTGCTGACAACAGTTGACAGTCTTGTGTTTGGTGGGAATTTCCTACATGGTTACAGCATAGGTTTACAAATCAAGTAAGATATCTTCCACTTCACTTCAATTTCACTTTCAATTTGACATTCGATACTCTGGGCCAAAATTTTGGAACACCTTACCAGCTATTCTACAAAAATCACTCTCCTTGCAGACTTTTTCCCGTAAGGCAAAAATGTATTTAATTGCTCGATATTGATACCCTCTCTTGTATTTATGTGTTAAATGACCTCTTGTGGAATTCAATGACATGTTTGTATTTTGATCACTTACGTACATGCCTCGGCTGTTGCTGTTGCTAGTACCATATGTATATTCCCAGGACAATGCTGTCGGATAAAGCTGTTGTCTGTTTGATGATTTTGCTTGTTTTTAATGATATGTATCCGCTGTCTATTTTAAAATTGTAGTACTTCGTTATTTTTATGATGTAATCACAGACACATGCACAGCCCAATTGAACATGCCTTCCTATTCTTAATTCTCTCCTCATTTTTTTTTCTTCTTCTCTCTGTTTCCATTTACTATTTTTTTGTTCTTTTCTATCAACTTTCTGTTATATAAAATGTAATTTTCATAATAATATCTATAATGTTCTCTCGGTAACTGTGTTAATTTATTATGGGCGTTCCCAACTCGAGCTATGCTTTTCGGGTTTTCGCCTCCTTCCGTATCTGAATTATTTACTGTATACTCTATGTTGAAATGATAGTTACATATATCATGTATATATACATTGTGTTTCATATTGTACTGTTGAGAAGGAAATAAATGTTAATAAATACAAAATACAAAATATCTCATTAGTAATAAAATAAAGGTTGTATTATCAATATTTTCAATATTATTATTGTTTGTAACATGACAGTATATTTTAAATGTTATATTAATGTTTTGGGGTCCAGTGTTATATTTAGAGAGCTCTAAAATAAGTGAATAAATACTTTCCTAGTTTTAAAAACATAATTGACCATTTATCTACAGAGTATAAACAGATGCACAATCACGCAGCATAGATTTAAAGATATGTATTTACCTTCTTTAAAAGTTCAGTTTTTTTGTATTATTCAATCTTTTAACCACTCACTAGGTACTCTTTATTTGTGTCATTGTTAAAAAACCCAACGGTTTTGGGCATACAGCTTTCCTATATTAAGTTTTAAAATGATATACATACTTTATATTTAATAATAATCTGACGTGGGTTCATGGGATCTCTTTACTGTGAAATGTATCTTCATCATTTAGTTTGAGATTTAATAACTATTGATATTATGTGATATATTTCAAATCTCCTGTTTTCTCCCTTTTTTAAATTCCATTGATCAGAATTCACGAATTAGAAAAGAGAGTGAAGATGCCACCCAAGTTTCAGTTTCCATGGTTTGAAGCCACTATGTGGTATGCTGCTGCACATCTACTTGATAGATTAAAAGGTCAGTTGATATACAGTTCTTGATGATCTAAAATGACCACTCTGATCATTTCACTGAGGCAGCAGTTTTCATCTTTGCAGATTTCCACGGCTACATTTGGATCTGATTTAGAAGAACAAAGATTGCAATTAATAACAATTTATTTTGTTATTGTTAAATTAGAAGAATATTTACTATGAAATTCATAACATTTCATTAAGGCAATTTTGTTTAAGGCCAAAAGAGTCTATGTGATTAAAATAAGATTTCAGACCTGATTATTCTCATAACTATCATCTTGGTTTACATAATATATCATTCATCATATGATTATTCATGTTTATAAGATGATGACGTGGATCCTAATCAAATGATTTGTTGAGAGCGTACACGTGACCAGGCATTTACTTTGCCTAAAGTGAATTTGGGTAATGACCGGTCATTATCCCATGGTAATGATGGGTCATCATTAAAATCATGTTATAAAACAAATATCACATAATCTTATAAAACAAATAATACACATCATTTTGTTCAGGCATTAGTAAAATTACCGACACTCGGTACCTTTAAAACAGTCCAAACACCCTTGGCTATCGTTTCGGGCATTGTTAGACTGTTTCAAAGGTACCTTTTGTGGGTAATTCTTACTAATGCCCTCACTGCTGTGTATTATTTGTATACTAATTATACAGTAATTTATTTCTCTCTCTCTCTCTCTCACTCACATAAGGCAAAGAGGAGAAGAGGAGGATGTCACCGTACATTGTCTCTGGGATCAAAGACCTTTGTACTACTCTCAAGTCATGGACGAACAAGAAAGAGGTAAATGCTATTTATATTAAACAAGTACTTGCAGTCAATAGTCATTTCGTCGCATGGTCTTTCTGGTGCCAGAAGGGTGTTGAATCTGTGTAATATTACATTAGTTAACACCCTTCTAGCTGTAAACAGACGATATTGAGGTTTTTAAGATTGATTGCCAAAACTTAGCCATTGTATTTGCCAAAATGATAATTGATGTTGAGTGTTTAATATTGTCAGTGAAATTGCATTTTGAATGCTATTAGTGGTGAATACTTTTTGAGAATTGCATTTTGAGAAGATCTGAAGTTTTTTATTTATTTATGCTAAGGTACATTTTTGTCTGGAACCCAACAAAAAAAAGACATACCGGTATCTGTCCATTCTATCTCTTCATATTGGGCATAGGCAAGGCCCAAGGGCTTCTAGTACATTCATCTATTTATATATATTTGGTTGTATTTTTTCTCCTACAAATTAGCATCTTTTGTAGTTTATGATAAAATACCTTAAGAGATAATTGTCTCATTTTCTTATCTTCTTATATTTTTGTTTAGGATGATAGGTTGGTTTGATCGTATGAAACTGTGTAAAATTTTCCATTGGAAAATACACACCTCATTAAAAGTATTGTGCATTATTAACACTGTTCATTAATAGTCAACATGTATGTATCCTGCATCAAATAATTGAACATCTCAACTAATATTGTAATCTTTGAATTTCATGTGGTTCATAAAGCTGCTAAAGGCAGTTACAAGATCTATGAAAGTAAGTTCATTTTTTATACACCAATATTTCTGAGTGAAAATTTATTTTCTTTTACTTTGTGCTCTATGTGAATTTGAAGGCTGGAAAGGAAAACTGTATGCCTACTTGCAGAAAAAGTAGTATGTCCAAAGCTTAATGAGTTCAGTATATTAAAGCATTAACCAAAAATACAAACAAACAAACAAAAAATCTATGTTTCAGATATTTCTTTTTGTCTATCCGTTGGATTTATTTATATGAGTGCTAAAATTGTGGGTCTTAATTTCTGTAGAGGTATTCCAAATATTGCCAAATCCGAGCCTCTGTACATGTTAATGTTCATTCATTATAAATTACTTAGAAGCAACCACAAGCTAACTGTTATTGCGTGACCCTTCCTAATTTCCATCTTTGGCTCTAACATTCATTCAAGCATATTCAAGAAGTTGTCCATTTACAAAGAAAAAAAATATCCATTTACAGAGAAGATCCTGTTTCATGAAAATTCTCAACTATTTATAAAGAATGATAATTTCTTTTTAATCTTTGCATGTTTGCGTAATTTTTTTTGGATTCATATTCTGGACACTTTTAAAGTAAAATGCACCAAATGTACAAGTATGGTCAATATTTGTGTGTATATCATTTCTTGAAACTTTGATTAGTGGCTCATTTTGCATGTACTGGTATACAACATGTAGATTCACTAATATTTTCATGTGACACTATGTGTATGTTTTTCAGTATCAGGTGCACTAATATTCTTCAGAAACAGTTTGATGCTATCCCTTTTAGAATATGGTAATTTTCAATGAAGCACTGCATACAATAAAGAAATAAAACATTAAACATATTGTAATAAACCGTCAAGAAGCCAATTAGGTATTGTATTAATAAAGAAAGAAGTTGAAATATTAAACTGAATAGGTGGGTATAATGTGTCCTATATTTTTCTCTGAAGTTTCACATAAAAACAGAAATAAAAATGTTGTCAATTCTACTTTCAAATTAACATGCAAAGAAATTATTTTGTCTTAGGTTCTTTAAAATATCATGCAGTAAACTGCTGCAAAAACAGCTGCATTTTTTAAATTTCTTGTAAGTGAATGGCAACTGTGCTCAAAGGTCTTATGCATATTCACTGAGCTGTATGTTATAATATAAATAATATGAAGCGTTATTCACTTTACATCATCATAAAAGAAAATGAAAAGCAGAGGATAACTGCTGCACACCTGGGGGGTGTTTCACAAAGATCCTAAATTGAACTTATCTCTTAGTTGGACTTAAAAAATATGGAAAGCCATTAGCCTCTTTGAAAATATTTTGTAAAAGTTATTTTGAAAGGCATTCATTGTTTATTGAAATCATTCATATTTTCTATCATCAAGGAGATTTCATGTTCTGGATGTGGAATTAATAAAAAGTCTAAAATACTTGAATTTCTGCTTTTGAATATATTTCATTTAAAGACTCCAATGGCTGTCCATAATTTTTAAGTCCAACTTAGAGTTAAGTTCTACTTGGGATCTTTGTAAAACACCCCCCTGATGAAGTATTAAGTTTAAGGAAACAAAGAAGTGTTCTTTTCTGGACTATTTGATTTGGAACTCATTCTGGGTAGGGGCGAAGGGAGTGAATATTAGTCCTTCCCACCCTAAGTTTTAATGATCGAAGGGTTGGGATTTTAATTTGATAGATTCACACACCATTCCTAATACCCTGCATGAGACTTGATTCACATAATGTACTAAGAAGTGAATAGCAAAGTTACATTTAATCATACCTCTGTGCATGTATCTACCCCTATTGAGCTATTGTGCATAAATGTATATTTATTCCACTATTTTTGCCTTGTATACAGGTATTGATATACAGTGATGTAATGCATCAATGTATTGAATGTATTATCATATATTATTTCTGAAATTTTGAGCCATGTTCCTGTATAACCTATGGATGTAGATAGTATCAAAGTCCTCCAGTGCCAATTCACAGATGTGTTAAATCCTCTCCTTCCCTTTCAATGTGCCAATTTTTTTCTTCTTCAAAAGCACGATTTATTCTTACAGAACATAGTGCTTAATCATAAAGTTCCTGTACTACATGTGTATACTTTAAAGGTAAAGACCAGTTATGGTCATGCGATTGCATTGTGAAAGAAACGTTGTGGAATCGATCAGAAAAGGTTGATCATCTAGCATCTAGCATCTGCAAGGTTCTGGAATCATCAAAATGATAAGAAATTTGGCCCATTCTTCGTAAAGTTACAAGCACTATACACAGAAAGATGTATATGGGACTACCCTATATCTCTCACAGACCATGAGAGAAACAAATTTACCAAATATATGAATTAGTAGGTGGTTTCCCGGCAAATTTTTTATCATCATGTATTAGTCAAAACATATTCTTTCACATGATTGGTAATACTGGTCTTTACCTTTAATGCCAGCATACATGTCAATTTAACACTGGTGAGATTTAAGAAAGCAGCATGTTTCTGTTGTATTCTTTGCCTGCAGGTCAGACACCATCAGAAAGAGATTCCAGAGGCCATCAACCATAGTCGGTTGATCAAGGAGCTTGCCAGGGAACTCAAGTCATGTGAGGTAATGACAAACTATCCCTTAAAGCCCCACTGCACTACTTATAGCTGCATGGGCCCTCTATATAGCAAACAATGCCTATTCGGTGCCTGTTGGTCCCCCATGATCCCTTTTTCTTATGTTAAGTGAGAGCTGATTTGATTAGATAACCACCTGTCATTGACCTTGCAGGGAGGTCTAACTCCCTGGCCAAACTAGTGCAGATGGGCTTTAAAGTAATTTTATGCTGTAGATAGGGTCCATTTCAATAAAGTATTATTATCATTGTGATACAGTAAAGACCAGTGAAGTTATTGGGCATTTCAAATCAAATATCATACAAGAAGTTGAATTATTCTTTTAAGTAGAATTAAAAACTGACTAACAAGGTCAGGGTTTTTAAAGTGCAGTTCCAGAAAAAATGATGGTGTAAATGTTGACATTTTCAGGACTTTTTTTATAGATATCAGTTGAATTACTTCAAGGAAAACAACACATAATGCTAGGGTACATCAAAAAGATTAGTGGGAGTTTATGCTAACGTTAGTTTAACTGAACCATATTTACCTTCAATTATCAATTATGCTTAATAGGTAGCTCCCACTTTATTAAAAGAGTAACTATGCCATCTTTTTCCTGTAGAATGAATGGTGCGAATCAGAGAATAAAACGTTTTCTTTTTAATGGAGAGGAATCTGTATGTTTAATGACTGTCTTTCATTGTTTTTTCTTCTCTCTTTCTAGCCACAAACCAAGAAAGAGAAGAAGAAGTTGAAGAAGAAGAAAGGCCAACTGGACGTTAAGCAGACTGAAGCATTAGAGATTCTACACAGCCAAACAGAAGATAGCCTTCGAGGCGGCATGACATCACACCGGTTACCTGCCCTTATATCCAACCCATTACCCGGTTCGGTGAGTATCCCTAATTACATGGAATTTGAAATACTTGTGACATGGAAGGTAGTGTTTGTAGTTACATTTGACAATCTAAAAATCATTTTCTTTAGAGCACATCAACTACCTGGCTCATCAATACTGATGATGACGATGGTGACGATGATGATGGTGATGATGATGATGATGGTGGTGAAGATGATGATGATGGTGATGATGATGATGATGATGATGGTGGTGATGATGATGATGATGATGATGATGATGGTGGTGATGATGGTGATGGTGATGATGATGATGATGATGATGATGATGATGATGATGGAAATGATGATGATGTACATGTTTCATTATATGTAGTCTAATAATGATATTGTTTAATGTGTTTCAAGTATTGAGCTCGAGCACAAGAAACCAAACATACCTCAAGCTATACATTCCATAGCAGACTCCCTAGATCAAGTTCAAACAGTCTAATACACAGGTTTCTCTGTATGATAATTTTATTGTTTCAATTCATTTGATGTTTGTCCAGTATCGAGCCCAAGCCCAAGACACCAAACCCCTCAAACTACGCATTCCAAAGGTGGAGTCTGGTGATCAAGGCCAAACCTCGACCACTGCAACCTCAGGGAGTGAGGATGAGAGACATCGGAAGAAGAGAAAGAAGAATACAACAAAGAATACAACAAAGAATACAACAGACTCTAGAAATCCACAGATGCTCAAACTTGTTGTCTCAAATGGCAAAATTGTCAGGTATGCAGCCTTTTTGAGGGATTGTGCTTAGGTGCCCTTTTATTCTCTATTTTATAGACTATAAAGTACAATTCAGGGTATTTGCGCACAAATTTGCATCACTTCAAATGTAATGCCAGAAAAAAATATTTAAGACTGCTCAAAAGAGTTGCAAAGAATTTCTATCAATAGTTTTAGTAGTAAGCAATGTAATTCTTAAGCATTTGTGATATGTAGATTTATTGGATATTATGTTTCTCAAGAAGTAATAAGTAAGCATTGGTACATCACATAATTTATGATAATGAGAAAATTTGAGTTACTAGTTCTCTTGTCCTTCAAAAGGGCTTACAAAGTATTATAAGAGAATTAAAAAGAAGACAGGGCTTGTCACAATTTTTTTTCCTTTAAACAAAATTTTTGAGTATACTTGTTTATTATTGCAAATCAATGTATTTATTTGTTCGTTCTCTTTTATTCATCAATAGTCGAGGTGGATCACCTGTAACAGTTCAAAATACTGGCTTCCAACCCATATCTAAGCATGAAGCCAGCAGTGAAGAAATCAACGTTGATGATATCTCGGCCGAAGACATCAAAGAAAGACGGAAGCTTATGTCATCGCAAGGATCTCTCAAGCTCAGATTATCATGTAAGACACGAGTGTGTGATAAATCTTTATTAATGTATCAGGCACTATTTTCATTAGGACTTTAAAGTTTGTAAAATTCATGAACTGTTGGAAGGTTGAAAATGTATCAACATATGAAAATGAACTGGTGATGCATGTGGGAACTTGTAATGTATGTAGCCTGTGTTAATTAATCATGAAAATAGCAGCTCGTGGAAATGTCAGTGTCCCTATCCTCTGCTAAAATATGTCATCCATTCTTATTCAGGTCGTATTTACCATCATATATACCACTTCTGTGTGTTTACAGCCAATGGTAATTCTAAATATTAAGGTGGTATGAGCAGTTCACATGACAGTATTCATCATTACACATCAGATACACTCGAGTCAGATGATTATGTCTGATTCACATCTTATTTACCATCTTATTTATCATTACCATATATGTTTATTTGTATTTACAGTCAATGGTAAATCTAATCATTAAGGTGGTATGAGCAATTCACATTGCAGTAGTCATCAAAATACTTCAGATACACTTGACTCAGATGATGACGTCTTCTTGTACTTGTCTTATTTACCATTACTATATGTATATTTTTCTTTACAGTCAATGGTAAATCTAATCATTAAGGTGGTATGAGCAGTTGACATGATAGTAGTCGTCATAATACATCAGATACACTCGACTCAGATGATGTTTCCCTTTACCTATCATATTTACCATTGCTATATGTTTATTTGTGTCTACAGTCAATGGTAAATCTAATCATCAGGGTGGTATGAGCAGTTTACATGACAGTAGCCACCATGATACATCAGATACACTGGATTCAGATGATGATGTCTTGCCTTCGGATAGGAGTCCTAGGGTATGTATGGTTCCTTGCTTTATCTGTCCAGTTCATCTCTGATAGTGGAATGATTAGGTCAATGCTATAAAAGATATATTACTCAGTAAATGGCTGGAAAAATCTGATAGTTTGACTGTTTCAGAGGATTAAATATTGGACTTCATAGTATTATACAGGTAAAACATTTTACTATATGACTGAATAGAACATATATTCAAAACTGTTGTAGGTCTATAGTAATGAAGTTTTAATCCAAATATCAGTAATGAAGAGGCCTTTTTATAGGTTTCTGTCGATGATCTTGGTTTTGATGAATGCTCCGTTTTTCAAGAGAGAGGGAGAGAGAAAAATCAATTAAAAGTGAATAACGTGTTTGGAGTTTGTATGATGCTGTTTCACTTAAATACATATGTGCTTTGTTATCGCAAAGTTGCTAAGTAGTAAAAGACCACAAAGTTGTATTTCAAAAATAGAATAATTCTCATTATCTTTTTTCTACTTTAGGCTCCTCAACTGAGTAATGTAGATGTCTTGTTACAAGCAACCAAACTTGAACCCTTACCAACAATTAGTCTAGCAGACATTGAAGCTGAGCTCAAGTAAGTATCAATACATATTCATCAATTGATTTAAAACTCATGTGCTGTTGATTGATGGTAATGGTCTTTGTACGTTATTATACAAAAGACTATTAATACCATGTGATGGAACAATGACTACATTTAAAAAATTTAAATGCTATTGGGACTATTTCCTGAAAGAAAAGGAAAAAAAGGACACCATTGTGAAGCATGAAAGTGTGTTATGCAATGTAGTTAAAGATAAAATTGGGAACTGGTCATGCAATGTCATTTTGTTTCTTTTGTTGTAAATATTGCAATATTCTAATTTACTATGTCTAGGAGAATTTTGATTTTTTTTTTTTTTTTTTTGCTTTTTTCTTTCTTATGTCTGTTACATGTAATTTTATCTAAGCGCCACGAGCACCGAAAGGTGGACCTGTGCGCTGTAGAAGTAGCCACTATCATTATTATTATTATTATTATTGTGAAAGAAAAGATCTGATTTTGATTGGCTGTTGAGCCCTGTTACCGCGGTAGTTGCCATTGATGGCAAAGTTACCATCAATGGTAAGTTTTATGCGACAGGGCCCTGGAAGTGATCGGGAAATTTAATGTAGTACATAAGAATTGATGTATACTTTTAAGATTTGGAATGATCAGAATGAAAAGGAATTGACACAATCTTGCAGAAAATAACATAAAATTGCACACAGGATAGAAATGGGGAAATGGGACCACACACACATGTGGCATGAAGGTTTGGTCTAACTTTTTCTGATATTGTTCATCACGTTTCAATTATGACAGCATTCTCTTTCAGGGGACATTTCTACTATAACATTTAGTGCATTAAGTGCTTCAAAAAGTAAAAAATCTTTGAATGACCTGTCATAAAATATCTTGATAATCAGACAGGCGATCAGCTTGGAAAAGTCATGGGATTCCTGACTGACCTAAAAGTTTATAATTAAGATTGCACCATGAGCTAATTCCAGGATTTTATTTAGAATCTGAGGCAAAGATACCCAATCCCTTGCATGTTATATTGTGTCCTCCTTGATCAGGAATCAGCCAGCATCACCAGGAACACAAGATGCTATCCAAGGAATGCTCTCCATTTCACTCCCAGGACGATCGTCCACCAGCCCCACTCTTGCCCATGAAGACGACGACGACTACGATGACGATGACAGCAACGATGAGGACTCCTCCAGAGAGAGGAGAGCATCCAGACACAGACATCGGAAACGATACTCGGATGACCTCGAAGAATTGCCCAACTGCTTTCAAGATGCCAAATATGGTAAGAAAGGTTTCTTTAATGTGGGATGCAAGGTGCACAATATCAGTACCATCGTTGATTCCTTCATGTTTAATTGAAAGGAAATTGTTACATCTGTAGTGCTTATATTTTTGCGTGTGAAGAGTAACATTCATATCTGTATCCTTCAAAATTCTTCTTAGATTGATTTGCAAAAACTTTTTTTCATTCTGAATTTTGAATATAATAATGAGAAGGTCAAGCTTTTATCTTAATATTTTGCAATGCCATTTCAAGCAAATAATGTTGTGCTGCCTGTGCAGAAAAAAAAATTATCCAGATATTTGCTCTCTCTCTCTCTCTCTCTCTCTCTCCCTCTCTCTCTCCCTCCCTCTCCCTGCCTCTCTCTCTCCTGACAGTATACCCATCCCTGGATGACGATGGAGACGGTCCGCTCTTCAAGTCTAGAAGCAAGACTCCAAGGAGAGATCAGTTGGACCTGCCCTGGAATCCCAAGGCCAAGGTGTTGACTCCGAGTCAGAAGCTAATCAGACCAGTCAGGGAGAATGCTAGGAGACCCAACATAGAGACAGGGTTAGCGGACGCTGCAGCCAGATTAGCAAACAAGGTACCTACAGATATTTCCTTTCTAAAATATAATTTAATAGTGCAGATAAGACTGGAATCATATATGCTTTTGATAAACTAAACTTATATTCTATACTGGTAATCAAGATGTAAGTACCATGCAGTTAAAAATAGATGAAAAAATGCTTTTGCCTTTCCTTTGTGTTTTTCTATTTTTTTCTTCTTGTACACTAAGAATTTATCTTTGATGTGCCCTCTTGAATTTCTGTAAACAAATGTGTAAAATTATTCATTAAGTCTCTTTTTTCTCTTTTATTTAAATTAAACCTTTTTTGTGACACCCATGTCACATTCAGATATCATGAACAGAATTTTGAGAGTACATTAAGGCTTTAATCTTTGTTTGAGAGTACACTAAAGTAAGGCCTTATTCTTGTCATTTTAAACTGTACATAAAATTTTAGATCAAGTGTAGAATGATTATGTACCAAAAGAACAGGAAGGGCAGCTCTTTCAATAAACATATCGTAGAATTGTTGTCACAGTCTTTGACGAATTTGCCACCAATCCCCACCGAAAGCAATAGACAAGACTTTACAATTCGACACACCCTGTGATCCTCTCTATCTACTCCTATCTCTTAGCCGAGACCAAAGAGGCAGTACATCAGGCGGAAACCCCTCGCACCCAAGAGGGCAGCAGAGCCCCTAGAGGATATTCCATCGACCAGCAGCGCTTTCCTGGCCCAGTCTCAAAACGACCCGTTCACATTCCATGATGCTCTGGATGTAGAGGACATTGACCTTACCCAGAGTGCACCAGCTGACCTGCTCAAACCAAACTCTGCCCTTGGACCAGGAAGACGTATGTTTTTCATTATTCTTGTTTTTTGTTGTTTTTGTTTTCTCTCTTTACCTCTTCAGAGAGACTTTATTATTCCATTTCAAATACATATATTTACACATAGACTATTTGTCATTATTCTTGTTTGTGTTGTAATATCCAGGGTGATTTAAGATATTTGCTCTTATGATAACTGCCCTGGGCTTTATTTCTGCAAAGATTTAAGGTTGGGGTTGCATTTGGGTTTTAGGTTAGGTTTGTTGCGGGAACATGCGACGTAGAACCGTTCTCAACTTGTAGGTTACGTAATTCAAACATACCATTAGTTTAGCAGGAATGTATTTTGTATTTTTTTGGGGGTTTTTTTTTTGGCACTAAATGAGTAAATTTCTGGATTTAATATCACTCCTTATAGCTGCTGACCTCTTATTTGTTAGTTGTTCATGAATTGTTAAACTATCATGCGAGTTATGTTAATTGCTGTTATAGTATATGCCTTCTTAATTTCCTGCATGACTGAATACAAGTAAACCCTGACAAATAGTTTTGATTCATCCAAGGGCTTTCTAATCATTTATCACTTTGAGATTTCCAAAAGATTCTGTTCAAAAGTTTTAATTTTTACTAATGTTTAAATTCTATGAATTTGTTGTTGACAGCTCCTAACAAGAAACCCAGGAAGGGGATGGCAACGGCTAAACAGAGGCTGAGTAAGATCCTTAAGATGAAGAAGGGAGGAAGAATTATTATGTGATGATCTGCAACATCAACATCAACAAAACAGGTATTGTTATTAGATTATGTCTACTTTCATATTATATCATGTATTGACTATAATTAATGTAATTAATATGCAACTGACTTGCACTTGTCACAACTAAAAGTAGCCCCTGACCCCCATAAAAGAATTGTCAAATTGATGTTGTTGTGCTCTGTTTTGGTATACTTAAAATCAGTTAAATCTGTGATTACACCTTATTTCCTTCTTTAGTGTGACATTTACCAACACAAAATATAGTTCAAGATGCAATTTGTTGATGAGGAACATTGCTTCAGTCACCTTTTAGTTGATTTTTGTTTCCTTCACATTGGCCTGCATATGCAAATTGTTTACTATTTGTTTATTAAATTGTTGTCACATTACTAGATGTGTTATTAATCCTCTATCTCTTTTCTATCCTCCCCTTGTCCTTCTGATTTCCCCCTCCTTCTTTTCCTCCTCTTACTTTTTCTTCTTGCCCCTTCGCCTCAAATACAGAATCCAAAATTCCTCACCAGGCTGAACTGAAGAGATGGAGATAAAGTGACTTTTCACTGCTTCATAACTTCAAGGGCACTGCAGGAGCCAGCCACCACATAGACACAATAAAAACAACTTTCATAATGTACAACAATTCCAAGATTCCAAAAATCTAGTTTTCTAAAGATTCATTCAGGTGTAGAACAGTGGTTATCATGGGATGTTCCCTCCACCTCAGAGTTGCAAAATACAGGCAAATCCTATATCAATATTACACAGCCTACTTCAAGCTGGTATCACCAATCAACCTTTAAGGTCGATTCTGTGTCTACATTACTTCTGGCGTTTGAGTGTAGTTTGGTATTTAGGTTCTTAGAGCTTGAAGTTTGTTTTAGAGGTATTATAAGACAGATTCAATTGTAAGTGATTTTGCATTTGAGTATATACAACAGGTATAGGTATTGTTTATGCTGTATTTCATAGAGTGTACCTACTTTTGTTGTTTTGGTTTATCTAACCACATGTAAAAAGATTAAATGGAATTCTTATGTTCTCTTTGTCAGAATGTTCCATAGATCCATACAAGATTGTCTTGATTTTCATATGATTTTGATTTTGCTTAAATGCTTTAAAGGGACTTGGTAACATTGTTCAGATGAGAGAAAATGGTGCTAAGGTAGTGACTTCAATGCTAGATGTACAATTAAGATAATCTAAGTGTCTCACAGTGTCGCCTTCAAAGAAAACCAGAAATATCTTTGTGGTTTGAGAATTTGTTCAGGATTGTTTGTATGTTGGAGGGTTAGTACAGTAGAAGGAATGTAATGAGTAACATTTCATACAAAAATTACCCAGTTTTTTCATCAATTTTTCTGAACATGACATGTATTTACATCAAAAAATGTTTTGTGTGCAAGTTTGGTTCAAATAATTAATTAATTAATTAGCCTTCAACAATGTTACCGAGTCACTTTGAGTAGAAGATGCCATTGATTGTTAACATTCTTCAACCATGGCAAATCCCACCCAATGATGCAGATAATCAATAGTGTCATAAGAAAGGTTCATGATATGAGTCCATGATGTATTAACTGAGCAGAAGTCACATTTGTTATTATAATGCTTCAGTTCCAATATCAATGGTCATGATTTTTCTGAACATGACATTTATTTACATCAAAATTGTTTTGTGTGCAAGTTTGGTTCGAATCTACTAAGTTTTATTTGTGGTCACTTTCAGAACTCATGATTTTGTTTGAAAGGTAAAAACCTCTATTGAAACACTAAATGATAATAGTGATAATGCACCCACCCCAACCTCTCGACTAATCAAAGATGTTCATCCAGTAAAATTGTTGAATTTGTCAAAGTTGAATTCTACCTTTAAACATTTCAGTGACTAGGAAAGAGAGGATAAATTAACAGAAAATAAGGAAGAACAGTATTACATGCACGACCTAATCAAGGTTAACTGAAATAGTATATGAAATTGTAAAAGATGGGACTAAAATGATTTGTAATTTGACATCTTGCAGGTACAAGAATGGACAGACCGTGAATATTATTTGAAGTTAAACTTGCAATATAATTTTATCCTTGTACAAAGTCTTTTATAAATATTTGAAGGGCATTATATGTTAGTTTTCTATTTAGTACAGACTGTTTTCAGATTTTCCATTAGCTTAATTGTGTAAGCCTTAATATTTCACATATCTGAAATTAATGATGTCTTTTTGTGAAATGCTTGTTTGGACTTAATTTTAACACTGCACTCAGGTACCCAATGTTGATTATCTGAGGGTTTTAATGTTTGCTTTCTTTATGTTTGTACCCTCCCATTCCTCATCATTTCCTTCTCTCAGCCTAAATTCATTTCTATTCTCTCTTTTAGCCTAGGATAATAACAGTTATGTGTTGCTCTGAATAAGGATTGTTTTGTGTTTCACTACATTGAATATGGGTATGTTTCTCTGTACAGATAAAGACAAATACAAAATGTACATACATTGTAGATCCGCCATAGAGTTTGTACTATTTTCTGTAAATATAAATGCATGTACATTGTATAATAACCTGTACATTTATACAAAGTGTATTATACAAACCATTTCTGAGTGCAAGAGTAGAGAATAAGAAGACATTTTTAGCCGTGTTTTGAGGTGCTTGTTTGTTTTATTCCTTGTTTTTGTTCCTTTTATTTTCATCTCTTGTTTGTGATTGTGATGTTTTTTGTTGTTGGAGGTTTCATGAAGAGAGTACCATGAGAAAATGATAAAAGCTGCATAAAAACAAAACTGTGTTTATTTTGTATTTTGTTACCATTGTCTTTATAGGAGTGAAACAGAGTGTCCATTGCTAGCAATGTGTTGAATATTGGAGGCAGATCCTCAGGCAAAGCAACAGATTAGGCCATTTTCACAATGTAGTCAAATTTAAAGCATAAATCTTTGTCACGTGCCTCGTTACAAATTATGTAATTCACCTGTAATAAATATGATTGTATTTCACTAGTCAGAATGTGAGAGGGGGAATGGTCTACCTGTCAAATGTAAAGTTTCAAAGCCATTTATCACAGGTGAGGGTGCTTCCATGTTCCTCCCCTCTCTCTCCCTCTTGTTATTCATCTCCATCTTCTTTTTCTCATTATATATTTTTTTTTCTTCCTTTTTTTTCTTTCTTCCTTCATCATTTTTTTCTCCATTTCATGGGGAGGGGCACACAAAGTGATATAGTCGCTATATACAAAGCGATATTATTTTCATTTCTTTTCACATGATAAAAGCAATGACAAACAAGTAAATGGAATGATATAACAGAAAATTAGCATTGAAATATCTTTGACATTGTTTATTTTAGTCTTGTAATGCAAAATAATTTGGTTACAGGAAATGAAAAAAAAACGGAACCTACTTGGAAGCAATACTTGTTAGGTGTAGATTCGCACAATAATAATATACATTCATACAACTATTTTTTTTTATGCGGAATAAAAAAACATGACAAAAACAAACAGTAGCAGGATGACAAGATGAGGATGTTACATGAAGATAATAAGAATGAGAGAGTGACAAACGAGAAAACGGCAGATCGAAAGAGAAGAAGAAGACAGAGAGAGAGGGGGGGGGGGGGGGGGGGGGGAGGAAAGAGAGAAAGACGGAGAGGGAGATCGAGAGAAATGGTGTCTATGATATGGAAACGAATATCATACACAATTTTGATGTGAAAATAGCCACTCGATCCCGCCAAATACGAAAACAACTGGGGATCTATAGTTATTCTGATACGTCTGCGCCAAAAAGTGCTTGAAAAGTTTAGGGCATTTTTTAATCGCTTTCAGCCCTATACACTGGGAGATGAATAAGTATGTGATTCACCCACTTGATTTAGAAAAATGATAATAAGAGGGAGACATTTTATCTTAAAATGAATAGATTTACGATGAAAACAAAATCAAACCCGGATCTCTTCCTGTCGAGTCAGAATACGTCATGCGTCATATAATAATAGAATTCGTTACTATACTCGGTACACATGACATACGTGACTTGCATAGGCCGCATTAGAGTTTTCGACGCTATTGGTTCAACACGCACATAGCATTGGCTGGTAAACATAAGAAGCCTAAATTCGCAATTACCTTTGGAAGAAGTACTGAAATTGTTTTAACAAGATGGTATGATTGATAATTGACGGTGAGTACTACTTAATTACATTTCTAAGGATTATTAATAATGTCAGTGAAGTATTTTTGAGAGTGTATTCCTACTCGTATTCGCACTCTATATATCATATGTATATCAGTGACTTGCAGAAAGATATCCTCGTCTGTATGCAGGTATGTGCACATTATTGTCCATGCACCTAGCTGTTTCTTGGCAAGGGTACTTATTAATAAAATATGGTGTGAACATTAAAACGTGCAGAAAGTTGTGTTTCATACTTTCATTGCTTTTTTTTTGCTGCAATATGATGTGAAGTGTGCAATCTACCGGCTGATATGTTGTCAATATATATACATATAATGCGTGATACAGTACATCATCATAATAGACAATCATTCAATAAAATATCATAGTACAACTACAAGTAAAGATTTAGTTTGCCTGCCCCATTCCTGGCAACTTATAAATGCTCATGGGAATCACAATGATTTTCATCCTTTGTTTTGTATGATTTGTTCTCCTACATGTATGTAATCCTCTGTATACACTTTGTTTTGCCGAATAAATAATATTAATAATAATAAAGTACGTTAATTGTAACTTTTCAGAATTTTAAAACCAAGCTTTTTTGTAAAGATTATGAAAGGCATCATTTGTTGCAATAGTTCAATCTATTTCTATTACCGGTATGTGTTTTACTCTGTAAATTAGCCTGTCTGTACTAGTTTAGCCAGGGGGGATCAGGCACGTAGCCAGAGTTTGATGTTTGGAAGGGGCACATATATATGTAACCAATCGAGGCCAAAAAAAGGGGTCTAAAAAAGTTCAACTGATCTTGGAAATCTTGGCTATAAGTAGTGCAATGGGGCTTTAAGAGTAATTGCATGGGTTTCTTGTAAAGCTGAAACTAATTTGAGATTTTGAGCTCTAGCTCTAATTACAAAAAATGTCATAGATCTACATGCAGCATAAATGTCTTTTTCTTCCTGGTCAGGAACTGTAACTAACTTAAATACTTATTATTTCGTCTATGTGTCCTATATTACCTTAATATATATGACTAGGATTGATCGTAACGTGCCTTCCTAATGCTGAGTACACCTAGAAAGAATGTATAACTTGCAGGTAGAACCCAAGTTTTATTTATGCCATGTATCCCATGTACCAAAAATCTGTGTCCATTGCTTTTCATATGTGTGTGTGTACCGGTATGTGATTTTCAGCAAGATTTTGACATTTTTTCATAGTTTTGTTGATTAAAATTCGATATTGTGTTCTTTTTCTTCTCCTTACAGCCTGCGCCTACGTGGGTTGGCAAGTCCGCAAAGTCTTCCGCAAGTGTACCAAGTCTGGACCGGCGGAAGGGGATGTGGACAAGCTAGCTGATAGCTCACCAGATGGCCAGGGAAAGTCAACATGTATCCTCAGGGGTGACCAGTCAAATGGTAAGGCTAGTAGATTAATTCATAAGTACATGACTTTTAAAAAGCACAATTGAAAATAATTTCCTGCTTTTCCAAAAAAAATGTAGATCTCTTGTGCCCCTTAAGACTGCTTGTGCCCCTGAAAGGTAAAGGCCAGTTTTGGAAACGCCCCCTCTCAAAAAAATGAAATGGAAGCTCTTATTACCTATCATGTGAAAGAATGCGTTTTGACTAATACGTGATGATACAAATTTTGCCGAGAAACTGCCTACTAATTTATATATTTGGTAAATTATTATATCTATTTGGACCTGATAGATATTGTGCACGAGTTGCGTAGTCCCATATACATCTTTCTGTGTACAGTGCTTGTAACTTTACCAAGACTGGGCCAAATTTCTTATCATTTTGATGATTCCAGAACCTTGCAGTACACACCAATACTTATATGCTAGATGATCAACCTTTTCTGATCGATTCCACAACGTTTCTTTCACAATGCAATCGCATGACCATAATTTTCTTTAAATACTCTGGCACTACATTTCCTTATGGGAGAAAGTAATTTTCCTATTATTGTCTGGTTAAGGAAATGTATTTCAAGTTGCCTACATTGCCATTTTTAATCTTCTACTTGGGTCTTTTCCCTGTTTGCATCTCCCCTCTCTCTTTCGTTCATCTTCTTTATCTCCCTCATATTTTAATATTCTAATCTAATTGGTCAGTGTCAAGCGGAATGTATGTAAATTTCAAAGCTTGTGTGTTTGACCTCATGTCTTCTTATCTTTCCTCATTTACATTGCTGTTAATCTTTATATTTTGACTTGGCCATATCAATTTTATTATAAGATAAAGATACAACCATGCAAAAGATAAGTAGATTATTGTTTGTTCTGTTGTTGTTGGATTTATTTTCTACTTGTATAAAATATTAATAATTACCATATACATGTAACGTAATATTATATAATTTTGAATGTTGTTATCCCTTGATTCTTCAAATTTGGTATATTAATATCTTACCAAAGGAGATGTAATAGCAGGAATATAGTGCCCTTCAGGCTCTCAGCACAATATCTCTCTGAAACGCAATCTCCATTCTCTTGCTCTATAGTGAATGTACCATGCTTTTTGCATTTTCTCCAGTTTCCAGTAAATTGCATTTGTATTATTCTTTCATTTCTTTTTCTCTTTCTCTCCACTCTCCAGGTGTTGCCAATGGGAAGAGCAAGACGTACGAGCAAGGGAGCAACGGGACAGCGCCGCCCCCTGCCTGTGACACGGGAGGATGATACTAGTAACCCTTTTGACGCCAGTAACATAATCTCACACAGTCAATGTGCTTGTTATTAGATGAACTGGTATTGAAAGGGGTCAATTCATAATTTCACCCTCTGTGGCCTACAATTATACATGATAACTAATTTAAGTGAAGTTCCATCACATACTCTCCTATAAGGTGAACTCATAAATATCAATTTTGCATCCCGTTTCTTGAAGTGGAATTAAGCATTGTATCTGTTTGACATGTACTTTGGAATTGCCCATCACCCATTGAAGTAAAGCAAACACTTGTGTCTTGACTGACCCAGCTAAATTGGAAATGTCCCCCCCCCCCCCATCTTCTCCAAAGATAAGGACCTGACCTAAACTACCTCAATGAACTAATAATATTGCTGTCCTCTCATGTGACAGGGACATTAAAGGGCAAACCAATCTTTGTAACAAGTTGAGATTTTGTTTTAAAAATATTAACAAATTGAAAGAAATTAAAAGTTGATTCCTTAGAAATTATGTTGACAGTACGTCACAGTGATATTACTGAATTACCAATTTCATTCAAATTTATTAGTAAGTTTCTCAGGTATTTCTGCTGTCTTTCAGAGGAGCTTGCAATAGAAAGTTGGATTTTCCTTTAACATGAAGGCACTTTTGCAGTGCCATATATAAAGTCCTTTGTAAAATCCAAAGCAATGATAGTAAACTTCTGGTTATCCATGATATATAATGATTTCTTGTTTTGTGATTAGGATGTTTTTTATTGAACATTCTTTGGCCCTACATTCAACCCTTTTATGAATTTGATAAAGTGAGCATTTGCACAAATTTAAAGCTGCTTAGTCCTGTTAAATGTCCCCATTTAGATAGTTGTATGTACTGGTGCTGGAATTGCTGAATCATTATCCCACCCTGTATTGGAACTTCACTTAGAAATTGTAGAAAAGTGTATTACCGTATTAAATTTGTTACAACCTATCTCATTGCCGTTATTGATAGGAGAAATCTTTTCTTTTATTCATACCAGACTTATGATAGCTCAAAACTGAAACTTCCCAAACTGGGAAGAAGTTTTTGCTGGAAGTTACTTCTGACAGACGAAAAGAAAAGGTTTCTTCTCAAAATAATGGACAATCATCGTTCAACATGTATTTCTTTTAATGTGGTGGTGGTGGTAAATGTGGTGTATGTATTTATTTTTAAATGAAAAGTTGGAAAGTGTATGAATGTACATGCATTATATAAGGTGTAAATGTCTTTCATAAAGTTTTGGGATCTCTCTCTTTCTCTCTCTCTTTCTCTCTGAGTTTAATTATAGTCTTTTAGATGATGATATGATTTTTTTCTTTTAATCTCTTATAGATATTTTTCATCATTTGCTGATGGGGGTGTAACCCAGAGAATGTTGTTCATTCAAGGAATAACTGTTTTTGAGAGGCATCACTTATTTGATCTACTGGTATTGATGCATTTTGTCTAATACTTTACAGATTATTCAAATGGATTACACGTAGTACTCTTCATCATTTCTTTCTTCTTCTTTTTTTTTGGGGGGGGGGGGCAGGCAGAGTAATTTTGCCCAATAGATATTGACTTAAGACTACAAATCTATGCATAATCAGATAAATGGACTATGTTAATTTGACCATTATATATATTTCTCCTATTTTTGTAAATTGAATATCCTTGTGTCTATATTGCATAAAATGTTATATATTAAATAAAAAAACAATTAAAATCTTTACAATGGTATACACATGTTTTTTTACTCATTGTTTATTGGATAAGAATAATGTTTGTAAAAATAGGTATAATTTCTTCCAGAGATATATATATTTATAGACAGTGTTTTTCTTGATAGGCCTAAACCCATTTAACATGCATTTTAAGTAGCTGAACATAATTATGATTCGGTATGCAGTGTCAAATACATGTACATGTATTTGCTCAGAGAAAAAAAATGTTGCCTACAGGTAGCATCCTAAGTGAAAATATGAAATAAAGGAAAGAAATTAACAAAATGTTGGTAAATTCATCTCAAATGAAATTAAAAGGTCAGGTACATCCAATTTAATACACTGAATGAATAAGTAAATGTATGACAGATCACTTAGTTGTTGAAGCTAGGGTCGTGAAATGTTTCAGTCTGCTTCTAATATTACCTGTTACAAGCCTCTTAAAGCATTTTACAGGTTCGATAAGTCTTCGTTAAAATACTTCATCAACAAACTATGATAATCAATGTCCATAATTAATATATTCTGTATAGATATTTTTCTTTTTTAAATGAGCTTTTCTCCCACTAAATATGAAAGTATAAAATGCATGTAACTCGTTGTACACAGTACTACATCTGGTGGCGCTACTTTGAAGACTATAGCTATAGAAAGTGATAAAGTATCTATTAATGCTTTGTATAATTATGATGGCCGAGATTTTTTCTTCGAAACAAATCATCGTACATAAATACAATCGATAACTGCGAATGTAGTCTAGGAATGAGACAGATTACATGGTGACGTGTGATAAAATAATGAGATTGAACTGTTATTTGTTAGGTGTATATTTTATGAATATAAAAGGAAGAGAAGAGAATTGGGAAAATGTATGGAGACGGGTGTCAAAGAGAAAAGAAACTGTGATTTTGTTTGTGTGGAATATGAGACAACGTAGAAAAAGATTGTGCAATTTAGCTTATTAAAACGAGTCAAACGTCTAACTTCTTAAATAAACCTTGAAATCAAATGCTAACTGTAGTGCTTAATAAATTTTTCTTAAAGGACTGCTCCAATATTAAACATATAAAATGCACATGGTAAAACAAGATCTGACATGCAGTGATACTTCATAATTCCTTTCACCCGTTACCTTTCCGTTACAAAAAAAAAACGTCCAGTGACAAATCTAAGACAGTTGCATCACTTACATAACGTCACAATTACTTCATCTCCCCTCTCAATTATTCACTCCACCCCTTAAAAACGAATTATGAAAATAGCCATCCACCCTGCTATATGAGGTGTCCCTAAAAAAAAGTTGTCGATTGCCTCCCTCCGTCGCTTGATCTTAGAGAACGAGGATGACAGATACTGCAGCCAGAACGACCACGGATACGATGGCGGAGAGTGATTGAGCTCGACCTTCGGTAGGTGCAGGTGGTGTTGGATGTTGGTAGTCGGCGAGAAGGGGAGCAACGTTGAGCCAAACATCGACATCGTCAATCGAATCCAGCAGCTGTACATCAAACACATAATATGTTCATTTATCATATTCATATTATTATTATTATATAATCATTCTTTTTGGTTACAGCAAGCCATGGTACATTTAAAATACCTTGGTAATATATTTTTTCTTAACATCCTCTCCTCGTAAAAGACCTTTTATTGTTTCGCACTTCGTACTAACTAAATATGGAATCGGTGCTTTCTTTCTTTAAATATCGTGGCAGTGATGGTCTCTTCAAATTGATATTGAGGTACAAATCCAGGCATTTGTTTTTATTGCTCTAGGAATATTTCAGAAAAACAATGCGTTAAAAATAGATATGTTGATGCGCAGGCGCGTAGCCAGAGTTCGACGTTTGGGGGGGCACATACATGTAATCGATCGAGGTAAACAAAAGGGGTCTAAAAAAGTTCAACCGATCTTGGAAATTTTAGGGGGGCACGTGCCCCCCCCGTGCCCCCCCCCCCCCCCCCCGTGGCTACGCGCCTGTTGATGCGACATCAGACAATTTCATTTTTGTCCTGCAGGTTGTATCAATAAGATTAATTCCTTATTTTTCATCTTTATAACATGGGGTGAGGGATATGAGATGTGGAAATGGTATTGATCGTGCATCCAATCGTAGGTCCATGATCAAATGCAGAGACAACGGTATGCCTACTGCAAATAAGTAAACACATTTCTAATGGTAATAATATTGTTGGTACACGGTATTTTTCCAATTTCTAATTTTATTTATTTATTTATATAAGTATTTGTACATATTTCTGATATTTATACCGGGTAGCACATTTTCACCATAAGTCGTGCTCTTTCATGAGGCATTGCTTGGTAAGAACACAATGCATTAATCATGAATGAAAACTCATAACAATAACATAACAAAATACAGAAGGAAATAAGTATTATGTACACAAATTCTTTGGTACCGTCTTAATAAAAAATAGACTTATTCAACAAAATACTATTGCATATTTGTAATAGGCCTATATCCTATTATTATTGTTACCGTTTCAAATTCAAAATGTCAAAATTTGGTATACATAGAAGAAAAAAAGCTTTTTTTTTTTTTTTTTTTTTTTTTTTTTTTTTTTTTTTTTTAGAAGAAGAAGAAGAAAAAAAGCTTGTAAAATAACCTTTTGATGCTGGTATCCGTTTTGAGGCAGCGCGAACCTGTATCCAGACGGACACGATCGTGTGTTGACGTCATAGCTGCCAGCAGACACACTGAATGTCCAATCGGTTGTGTCCGAGAGGCTCTGACATGCAAAGTAGAGGTTTTGGGAACAGTCTGTCGGTGTGTACCAACGACTGTTGGTGCCACTGTGGAGTGCAAGAAAAATGCATTTATCAATTAGATTCCAAAGATGCCTTTAGAAATAAAAACCATCCCAATGTGTAAATCTCACACGAAAGTTGATTTGTGGTTTATGGAGACTATAGGGAGTTTCGTGTCGTATTCATCTTCTTCTTCTCTTCTTCTTCTTTGCTTCTTCTTCTTCTTCTTCTTCCTCTTCCAACATACTTGAATGGGGGCGTGGCCTGCCTTTCTACTCCCCCCTCCTCGATGGCAAACAACGCCCATACTTCCCACTCACCTGAGCTTGATACACGACGTCGAATCGGTGATTGGTGTCGCTGGCTCTCCTTTAGCCCACGTATAGACGGCTGTCTCCATCAGTTGAGGGTTGACCTGATCACCACCAGGGTACTGAATGCCACACTTGACGAACTCGCTGAAGTCTTCGATGATCCCCACTCGTGTAGGACCGTCGATGTTCTCATTGTCGAATCTATAGTGGAAGGAAGGCATAATAAAGGAAGGCATAATAAATATTGACGCATACATGCAATAAGAACCTCACATGAACATGGCACATAGACCTAACGGTACTTACTTGGTGCTTGTAGATGATTTTAAGATTATGCAAAATAATTCACCAATATCATCATGCGGTTGACAGTATATAAGTGTTGTTCATTTACTCCTGCCCAAAAGCTACCAATATGGGATGTATGTCTTTTTTAATCTTTCACTAGAGTATGCCACAAATTGATATAAGTACTGGGGTCGTACCGCAACGTGGGATAATCCGATAATGCATCCCTGTTCTATACCCTCTCCTCATTCGATGGCCCTGTTTCCCTCACATTTCATCAACCTAGTAACCCCCACCCCCACCAATTCCCTTTCAACCAGGGGTTCGTCCCATGGGACACGTCCCCCTCAATTGTTTTAGGGGCCGGGAATCGCCCCCCCCCCCGGAAAATTTGAAAAATGCACACAAAAAAAGTGTATAGCAAATACTGACTAAAGACTGCAACAAACTTTTAGGTTCTGGAGGGCCCAATAGTGCAGCGTTTAGACAAATAAAATGCAAACATTTTCTCGCTCGATAGCAAAGTGTTTTTATACTATAGTTTTGCTAAGGAATATAATAACCTGTGAGGGTGAAGTCACTTCCGTCACCTTCACCCCTCTCGTTCTCTATGCTCCCTCCAACTAGCGTAATGGTGGGGGGGGGGGGGGCTTGGGGGCAGTTGCTCCCTAATAAAATTCAAACGTGGTTTATTTCTAATTCGATACTAGCGATTTACAAAATAATGTTGCTGAAATAGCATGGTTTTTCCCTGAGCTTCCGGGGGCTCTGCTCCCTGGACCCCATCAAGGGCCCTAAGGCGGGCCCCTGGTTGCTCACGTGACCGCCTAAAACCCCTTAGATTCTGGGAGCTACGCCCCCTTTACCCCACTCCAATTAGTGACATGCATGCAAGTGTCACAAATAAGGTATCAAAACATGCTCATCCGACCGTAATTAAATGCCTAAAACCCTGAGCTTCATGGGGTTACGTCCCTTAACCCCCGCCGGGGTTTTGCCCTTGGAAACCACGCCAATTTACGCTCCACTCGCTTCGCTCGGTTTGCTCTACCTGATCGTACATACTTAAGCACCCCCCCCCCTTTTTTTTTGGAGATGGTCCCCCTCCCCTGGCGCTCAAGGTGTGATTTTTCAAATTTTCGAGGGCCCCCCCCCCCCCCCAAAAAAAAAAAAAAAAAATTAGTGCTCACTACCCCCCCCCCCCCCCCCCCAACTGAGCGGATTATCGACCGGCTGTTTCGCCGCTAAATATTTTCTCACGGATTGGGCCCCCTCCCCTGCCGCCGGCTAGATCCGCCTCGGGCGGGGCCTGCATGTAACATGTAAGAGTGGGGTGATGTGGATTTTTGTTTGTGTGCCTCCCCCCCCCCCCCCCCAAAAAAAAAAGAAAATAAAAAAACGTTTCTGCTCATTACGCCGCTGCTCCCTCGTTCCTCACATTTCGTCCCCCCCCCCCCCCCCCGTCATGAAAAGAAATCGCTAGATCCATACGCCAATGCGCGCGTGTGTATCTGATGTGAATACATTAAAATATCTTTAAATGTCCAATAACATAATACTAATAAATATTATTAACTTATTATGCAGATTAAAAGAAAAAGATAAATGACATTAATTTATACTCTCCTTAGGAAACAGCGGTTTTTATTGTTTTTATTGTTTATCATCAAAAAGAATAGAACTTACACATAATGAGTGCTGTCGCTGTAGAATCGGAGCGCGTTGGTCTCGTTCTTTCCTCCACATTGGGGATAGTTAGAGAACTATATGACAAGGATAAGTTTGAGAAAAAATTAGAAACATTCAATAACTATCGTCTAAAAATAAAAATGTTATGTCAAAATATCACTGCTCCTTGAAAGTGTTTGTATTTCTCGTTATTATTATTTTTTGTTACCTGTATAGTGTACTTCAATTTAATGCAGATTTCAATCTTGGACGTGATAGCATGACATCGGTATATTTTACCCAAGATGCTTTACAGAAAATACTCTCTGTATAGCGTCTAAGTTCAAAGAAGCAGCAATCCGAGGGGGGGGGGGGCGTTTCATCAACATTTGTCAGCCAACAACTGTCAGCACTGACTAAATTTGACCAATCAGAGGCCTGGAAAATAGTCGGTGGCAATAGAATTGTCGGTAAAAATGATTATTAGTCGCTGAAAACCACCGACTAATTGTTTCATGAAACGCCCTCCTGGGGCCCCCAACGCCCCCAACTTTAGTTGGATGAGATTTAAAATAAAACCACTCCTGTGACCCACTTACCTCATTCCGTTTCTTGTCCTTCCAGAATCCAGGATGGATAAACTTGCCCTGATGGGTATAGAACTCATCAGTTCCTGCTGTGGCAAGATGAGCAATCACAACGCTTTTGCCATCCTGTCGATCAAAAATAATAAATAATGCAAGTTTTTCTTATCTCACACACAAAAAAGGGAGATATTTATTTATTTTTATAAAAATCTTATTTGATAATGATAATAATACACAGCATTTATTAGGCGCTTAATACAGTTGTGTCTAAGCGCACCATTGTCTGTCTACAAATTACCAAGCAAAACTTATAATAAACACACACATTATAAATCTGTTCTTTATTCAATAAATCATGCATATATAGTAATACAAATACAAATGAGATCAAACATGAGTCTTTGATCAAAAATAAGGTCAAACAAATAAGGAATAAGATGGTGGGCACCTCCTTTGACCGACTCACGACTGCGCCGTGTAGAATATAATTCATGAATTAAAAAGGTGCGTTTTCAGCAAGGGAATGAGTATTATGAATATGCGCTAGTAATTTATCTATTTATTTATTCATTTATTCGTTTTATTCAAACCGGGTAACTCTCTCAGTATTGAAGTCATTTTTCTGACAGGCCCTCTATAGATTATAGGTAATAAATACAAAGGAAATTGAACAACTGTTTGTAGTGTCAAAGAAAGTTCACTTTCCTCTTTTTGTGCACTAAATGATTGACAACCCTGAAAAGAAATTTGTTTCTTTCGATAACTTGATATATTTTTGTATATATTTAACTTTACAGACGCCTTTATTTCTTATTTCTTTTTTATCATTACTTTTAGTGATATAATTATGATTTAGAGGAAATACTTTATGAAGAACATGTCAAATTGCAGACGCTATGTGAATGATGAGGTCTAGAAAATGGGAACTTTTAAAAGTTGGAATCTGTCTTATAATTAAACCAATCGATTAGCGGTGACCCGAGTAAAAATGACAAATACTCTTGAATCAGACATGACAATGACTGTTGGTATTCCCTCCTAGTTCCTTGAGCCCCCCCATCCCAACTCCCATGAGCAATACTCCTAGTATTAACCCCAGGCGCGCCGGAAGCAGTTTGGGACTGGGGGGGCAAACATTCCAGGGGGCTCACTTTCCAGGGGCAGTGACGTAATGAGACTGGAAGTTCGGAAGGGGGGGGGGGGCACACGCAATTTCTGCATCACCACCAGTCTTACACGTTACATGCAGGTCCCGCGGAACGTTTTTCAAAGTGGAGTATTATCGATCAGGTAGAGCGTAAATTGGCGTGGGGTCCAGGGAATGAGCCTCGGCAGGGGGTCAAGGGGCTGAGCCCCCGGAAGCTCAGGGGTTTTAGGTATTTATTTACGGTTAGATGAGCATCCAGGGGCCCTCTGTAAGGCAATTGACGTGTTCCAAGGGGGGGGGGGAGAGCCCCCAGAAGCTCAGAGGTTTTGATATTTAACTACGGCCAGATGAGCATCCAGGGGCCGTCTTAGGGCCCTTGGTGTGGTTCAGGGGGCAGAGCCCCCGGAATCTCAGGGGTTTTAGGTATTTAATTACAGTCAGATGAGCATCCAGGGGCCCGCCTTAGGGCCCTTAGTGGGGTCCAGGGGGCAGAGCCCCCGGAAGCTCAGAGGTTTTCGGTATTTAATTAAGGTCAGATGAGCATCCAGGGGCAGCCTTAGGGCCCTTGGTGGGGTCCAGGGGGCAGAGCCCCCGGAAGCTCAGGGGTTTTAGGTATTTAATTACGGTCAGATGAGCATCCAGGGGCCCGCCTTAGGGCCCTTGGTGAGGTCCAGGGGGCAGAGCCCCCGGAAGCTCAGAGGTTTTAGGTATTTAATTAAGGTCAGATGAGCATCCAGGGGGCCGCCTTAGGGCACTTGGTGGGGTCCAGGGGCAGAGCCCCCGGAAGCTCAGAGGTTTTAGGTATTTAATTAAGGTCAGATGAGCATCCAGGGGGCCGCCTTAGGGCCCTTGGTGGGGTCCAGGGGGCAGAGCCCCCAGAAGCTCAGGGGTTTTAGGTATTTAATTACGGTCAGATGAGCATCCAGGGGCCCGCCTTAGGGCCCTTGGTGAGGTCCAGGGGGCAGAGCCCCCGGAAGCTCAGAGGTTTTAGGTATTTAATTACGGTCAGATGAGCATCCAGGGGCCCGCCTTAGGGCCCTTGGTGAGGTCCAGGGGGCAGAGCCCCCGGAAGCTCAGAGGTTTTAGGTATTTAATTACGGTCAGATGAGCATCCAGGGGCCCGCCTTAGGTCCCTTGGTGGCGTCCGGGGGCGGAGCCCCCGTAAGCTCTGGGGTTTTAAGCATTTAATTACGGTCAGATGAGCATTTTTTATACCTTATTTGTGACATTGGCAGGTCACTTTTTTTTTCTCCGTCTTTCTTTCTTTTTTTCTTTAACATACTTTTTCAAAAAGGAGGGGGGGGGGGGGGCTCGAGCCCAGCCACTTTGCAGACCATGACATAAAGGCTTCTAAATTAGCGTATTTCGCCTGACTGTAATTTGGGAATTTCTTATTTTCCAACAAACGCATAAAAAGGTATGACTTAAAAAAGAAATGGAGAAAAAATGCCGGAAAATCATGTCACAACATCATCATTTGTAAATCAATTGTTTCGAATAAGAAATACATCACCCCCCCCCCCCCCCCATCAGTACGCCAGCGTTCAAGGGCTCATGTCTTCTCACCATAGGCGCCGGAAGTGGGGGGGCAGGGGGGGCAGTTGCCCCCCCCAGTCAAAAAAGTGGGGGGGCAAAACGCATTTTTGCCCCCCCAAAACGCCCCCCCCCCCCCCTCCAAAAAAAAAAAAAAAAAACAGTAAAAGAATAAACATGGCTTGTATTTTTAATCCAAAAGAACGTAACAATAATAAAAACCTGAATTGAATCACATATACAATTCCATTCAAAGAAACGGAAAGTTCACAGGAATTAAATTTCATAAACATTGCGCATGCCACCTATACGGTATTTATCAATGGAGGTCTAATAGCGATACGCGCATATCGTGGACATATTGTGCGAGAATGGGAAAGCGTGTCCGTTTTTTTGTTATAGGGGTGAGAAGACATGAGCCCTTGAACGCTGGCGTACTGATGGGGGGGGGGGTGATGTATTTCTTATTCGAAACAATTGATTTACAAATGATGATGTTGTGACATGATTTTCCGGCATTTTTTCTCCATTTCTTTTTTAAGTCATACCTTTTTATGCGTTTGTTGGAAAATAAGAAATTCCCAAATTACAGTCAGGCGAAATACGCTAATTTAGAAGCCTTTATGTCATGGTCTGCAAAGTGGCTGGGCTCGAGCCCCCCCCCCCCCCCTCCTTTTTGAAAAAGTATGTTAAAGAAAAAAAGAAAGAAAGACGGAGAAAAAAATAAGTGACCTGCCAATGTCACAAATAAGGTATAAAAAATGCTCATCTGACCGTAATTAAATGCTTAAAACCCCAGAGCTTACGGGGGCTCCGCCCCCGGACGCCACCAAGGGACCTAAGGCGGGCCCCTGGATGCTCATCTGACCGTAATTAAATACCTAAAACCTCTGAGCTTCCGGGGCTCTGCCCCTGGACCTCACCAAGGGCCCTAAGGCGGGCCCCTGGATGCTCATCTGACCGTAATTAAATACCTAAAACCTCTGAGCTTCCGGGGGCTCTGCCCCCTGGACCTCACCAAGGGCCCTAAGGCGGGCCCCTGGATGCTCATCTGACCGTAATTAAATACCTAAAACCCCTGAGCTTCTGGGGGCTCTGCCCCCTGGACCCCACCAAGGGCCCTAAGGCGGCCCCCTGGATGCTCATCTGACCTTAATTAAATACCTAAAACCTCTGAGCTTCCGGGGGCTCTGCCCCCTGGACCCCACCAAGTGCCCTAAGGCGGCCCCCTGGATGCTCATCTGACCTTAATTAAATACCTAAAACCTCTGAGCTTCCGGGGGCTCTGCCCCCTGGACCTCACCAAGGGCCCTAAGGCGGGCCCCTGGATGCTCATCTGACCGTAATTAAATACCTAAAACCCCTGAGCTTCCGGGGGCTCTGCCCCCTGGACCCCACCAAGGGCCCTAAGGCTGCCCCTGGATGCTCATCTGACCTTAATTAAATACCTAAAACCTCTGAGCTTCCGGGGGCTCTGCCCCCTGGACCCCACTAAGGGCCCTAAGGCGGGCCCCTGGATGCTCATCTGACTGTAATTAAATACCTAAAACCCCTGAGATTCCGGGGGCTCTGCCCCCTGAACCACACCAAGGGCCCTAAGACGGCCCCTGGATGCTCATCTGACCGTAGTTAAATATCAAAACCTCTGAGCTTCTGGGGGCTCTCCCCCCCCCTTGGAACACGTCAATTGCCTTACAGAGGGCCCCTGGATGCTCATCTAACCGTAAATAAATACCTAAAACCCCTGAGCTTCCGGGGGCTCAGCCCTTGACCCCCTGCCGAGGCTCATTCCCTGGACCCCACGCCAATTTACGCTCTACCTGATCGATAATACTCCACTTTGAAAAACGTTCCGCGGGACCTGCATGTAACGTGTAAGACTGGTGGTGATGCAGAAATTGCGTGTGCCCCCCCCCCCCCTTCCGAACTTCCAGTCTCATTACGTCACTGCCCCTGGAAAGTGAGCCCCCTGGAATGTTTGCCCCCCCAGTCCCAAACTGCTTCCGGCGCGCCTGCTTCTCACCCCTATAACAAAAAAACGGACACGCTTTCCCATTCTCGCACAATATGTCCACGATATGCGCGTATCGCTATTAGACCTCCATTGATAAATACCGTATAGGTGGCATGCGCAATGTTTATGAAATTTAATTCCTGTGAACTTTCCGTTTCTTTGAATGGAATTGTATATGTGATTCAATTCAGGTTTTTATTATTGTTACGTTCTTTTGGATTAAAAATACAAGCCATGTTTACTCTTTTACTGTTTTTTTTTTTTTTTTTTTGGAGGGGGGGGGGCGTTTTGGGGGGGCAAAAATGCGTTTTGCCCCCCCACTTTTTTGACTGGGGGGGCAACTGCCCCCCCTGCCCCCCCCCCACTTCCGGCGCCTATGATTAACCCCTAACTTATCTTGAATTTAATTAACTTAACTTCAGTAGATTGTTAACACCGAAAGCCATTTAATTTTTTTCTGACAGAAAGCACAGTTGTTGAAAGTGGAATATGTATTTTCATGAGAATTTTCGTACGTATAATGAATAATCATCCTGTCTTGAGCAAAATTTTAAAATAAAATTGATTTCATACCTCTCGCATGGTTCTTAATGTAGGCCACTCGTTGTTGTAGTTGTTTCTGAGGTCAGCGGGGGTCAAGACCCGGTCACCAAGGTAACGCTCAAAAGGCCCGTTGACCGCGGCATCGTTGCCCTGATCATACTTTTCCTGTAACCAAGGTAACATTAAAAGAATGGGTATAAGGGTCGCAACCTGAGAATTAATCTATATCTTGTTTGAAATAAAAATAGACAAGACAATCTTATACTCATAAACTTAAGTTTATGTATATGGTTTTAAGAAAATTTTTGTAAAGATTTTTTTTTTTTTTTTTTAAACCATTCGACTTAAAAAACTTGTTTTGTAATAATCGACGTGCTAAGCATCGTATACAAGTCGAAACTTGATATTTTGATATGGGTTAATAAAATACATAAAAACTAATATTATAGATAAATTAAAAAAAATACACAAAGTTATCAACAGGCGTACGCAGGATTTTTTCAAGGGGGGTATTTTAACATTTATAAATCGGGCCGAAAATTTCGCAACGACTCAGCCAGCCGCTGAATAAGCGGGGGGGGGGGGGGGGGGGGGGGGGGGGGGGGGGGGGTAAGAGGTCACTTTTTTTTTCTTTTTTTTGGGTCCCAAAAAAAAAAATCGCAACGACTCAGCCCACCGCTGAATAAACGGGGGGGGGGGGGGGGATAAGAGGACACTTTTTTTGGTCTCGAAATTTGAAAATTTGACATTTTGCACCGTTGGGGGGGGGTAAGGTCAGCTTTTTTAGGTCGGCCATGGGATTTTTTTTTTTTTTTTTTTTAATTACAAAAAAAAAAAAAAAAAAAAAATCCAAAGGGGGGGGGGGGTTAGGGGGGTTTAGGGGGTTTACACATAAGGAATACCAAAGAGGGGGGGGGTTAACCCCCCCCCCCCCCCCCCCCCCTCTGTGTACGCGCCTGGTTATCAAGGTGTACGTACGTTCATATAAAGTCTGATGAACTCGCCTTCGTTTTCGTCCAACCACGCACCGATCTCTTCCACGGGTTGGGAGAAGAGAACGTGTTCGCTGTTACATAACTGAGCAATGGTACTCCCCAGATGGGCTATGCGCATCTGTATGGGCACATTGACACACACAAATGAGAATCAAAGGAATTAGTTATCGATACATGGTGAAACCAATATTATCGTGGAATATATAGAATAATTTAGTGGATATGCAGTTCCTAATAATATGCGGTAAAAGATGGCGTAGCGTGGGTCGATCAATGGGGGGGGGGGGGGGGTTGTGGCGGCGTCTCATAGAGTAGATAGAATATGAGAGAACAAGGTCGTCAAGTAAGGGGAGGGTGTGCGAGAGGTCTTATCGTCCTTTTATGTTGCCCCCCTCTCTCTCTCTCTCTATTTTTTTTCTCTCTCTCTCTATCTATCTTTCATTTCTCTCTCTCTCTCTCTCTCTTTCTCTCTCTCTCTTTCATTCTCTCTCTTCTTGGTCGTTCTGGGGGGGGGGGATTATACCTTCTTATCTTTAGCTACACATCTGACAGCTTGATAGTCTTCTTTATGCTACAGTTTTACTATATATGGGTGTAATAAAATGCAACTTATCATATTATATTGTGCAAAATCATTTTCCCGTCATATTGAAATTACTCGTTATGATTTCTTTTGTTGCAATGTAGTAGAGGTCAAGTACAATGGGTGTGTCATCAATGAAACAATGTCCAGTCAAATATTGACATCGCGGAGGCTGATACCAATCTTGACATTAAAGCTATAAATCGCAGATGAACTCAAATCAAAGACAAAGACACACAGAGATCTATACATGTGAAGAGCCTTATAAAACTATACTTTTAAAGAGATGTTAAGATTATGAATATGAAACATAAAGTCTTGATATTAGTATCATTATTAGCATTAATATAATTTGCATCATTATTGCTGCAAATGATCAGTTTAGGCCTAATATTGTAGTTCACAAAATGCAAAATCATCAATAAATTTTATTTTAATACTGGTATTAATTTTATGATTATACTTTATTGAATTCTATATATTTGTCTTTCTGTTTTGGGGGCTTCATAGTTACCTCATTTTCACAATACCAGTTATCGAGCTCGATGGCCCTGATTCCCATATTGAGAAGATCTGTCAAACTGAACTCCTGGTTAGCAATCCCAATACACAGGCTGGGATTGTACGGGGGTGGCCATGTACATGTATCATTAGCTGATTATGGAGGGGAAAAAATAGAAATAGAAGGAAAAATGGTTTTAAAGAAAAATAATTAAACAGTGTTTTAGATAACTTATATTTAAAGGTAAAGACCAGTATTGGAAACGCCCCAATTTCAAAAAATGAAATGGAAGCTCTTATTACCAATCATGTGAAAGAATATGTTTTGAATATTACATGACGATAAAAATTTTGACGGGAAACCGCCTACTAATTGATATATTTGGTAAACGTGTCGCGCTCGTGTGTGTAGTCCCATATACATCTTTCTGTGTACAGTGCTTCTAACTTTATGAAGACTTGGCCAAATTTCTTATAATTTTGATGATTCCACTAACCTTGCAGTACATCTATGCTAGATGATCAACCTTTTCTGATCGATTTCACAACGTTTCTTTCACTATGCAATTGCATGACCATAACTGCTCTTTAGCTTTAAGTATCTAAAAACTTATTCATTTCACACTTTTGCCTCTTTCACTCTCGGCAGGCTTTTGTTGTTATTGTTCTGTTAGGTTCTTCTGTTCCCCTTCTTTTTCGATATTATCACCTTTTAAAAAACTTTCCCCCTGTATTCTTCTTCTTTCATTCTCTTCTTGCTCTTTTTGTCCTTCTTCAATTTTTCTCTTTTCTATTTACGGTTCTCATTGTATTTTGTCTGATTCTTTATAAATCCACCAACGTATATGTGTATCATGTTTACGGGTGAAAAATAATGGTCAACCTTTAACAAGATAATTCAAAGTTCAGATGATTTATTCAAATCAGGAGCCATTGTGCCAATTACTTAATTACTTAATCCAACATCATAGTTTTGTTTATAATCTTAGAGGTTGACACACCGTGCGTCTTGGTCATTATATCTTGTGAACATATTATTATATAGCCTTTGCCCAAACAGTAGTCACCATGTACCTGGAGACGTCTAGCTCGTGATACGCCCACTTTTGATAACATTTTTATAATGTTTACTAAATGTATTTAGTGACGCAGTCGTAGTACTGACATGGGATAGAGAAACACAGTACCTTACTTGTATTAGTGAATTATTTCATTTTTTTCTTAAACTAGGGCATAGGTTGAATGTATATGCATTGTCGAATTGAGAATCGTACTTCCTTATTTAATGACAATTGCAATCGTTTTGTATAATTCTCTTCCGTATCAACATTATAATCATGTACGCTATTACTATTTTGTTCAATCGACCTTGAATGCGTATGCATTTTGATCTGAATGAATACAAAGATAACAGCTATGTCGTGACTAGAATTAATTAATCAACGAGGTAATTGGTATTTTCTTGATACTCACCCCCATACAAAGTTCCATACGGTCGGGTATTGTATGAATTATGTGCCTTGAAAAGAAAAGAGAATGTTACTGCAAAGTGGCATCATACTAGATCAACTACACACGTTATTCTACCTATAGTTAATACATGTCAGCTGAACAAGACTCTGTTATCACTGTTGGCCTATAAAATAATGATTAGCGAATTATATACTCTCCACCATTTACAATGTATAATCATTCTGCCACTAATAGACAGCTGCAATAAACGTTTATGACAGACCATAGAATTAATCTTAATGTTGCTATGCTTATCGATTTAAATGAATAAAACACCAACTTCCTTCTTCTTTTAAGGCACAAAAGGATAAATATAATACACTGTAAGATTCCCTACTAGTAACTACGAATTTAGTTTAAATGATATCAAACGTTACTCGAATAATATGTATACAAATTATATTTATTATCAATCGTATATATAAAAATGTTATAATGAAAATATTTTTTCATTTCATTGCAACAGAGATGTTTCTCTTTGACTAGCGAGTGGTATTGAACACAAGTACAAGAATGATATCATTACCAACAAAGATATAATTATTATGTAGTATTTTGTAAAGTAATTATTTATGAGAGGAATGAAACAGACTATAGCATAAAGTAAGTGTGTTTATACTTACGTCCAGGAGTTGTGCATGATAAAATGACAAGTCGAGCTGAAAGTAAACAAAACAAAAAAACAATTAGCCTGTCATAAGCGTTTATCTCCAATGAACTCGACTACATCTGTAAAAATATTATTACATTTAGAAAAAATAATAACATTTAGAATTGGAAACAAAATTGAGGATTTCCTCGACAAAGCTTTTGTACCAACAAATTTCAAGCCTTTCAAAAATGATGCAAATGACTTCCGAAAAAATCGTCCACAGGCAATTTCAATTTTCCATCACCTTTTAATCTGAATATAATTTTTTGCGGATATTGAAATTACCCCTGAATTTTTTTATTGAAAGTAGTTACGAGCATTCTGTTTCATATGAGACGAAAGATGCAAGATATAATATGTTCTTTTATTTTTCATCGACTTAATAAAATAACACTCTGCTTTTGCTCACCCTTTTGATTTCTGTATGCAAATATATTGTCACGCTTTGGTCTCTATCTATTATCATTATTAAAGTACAAAGCATATTTGAACAGAAGATTGTGAATACACACATTGTTTTAAATCATTATACTCTGCTGAGAGATTGTGAAACTGATAAACGTAATATAAGAATTGCCAAACCAGGGCGGCGGGGCTGAAAAATTTGGATTTCGGGAGGGGGAATTTATCCTAATATATTTTTGAGGTTTTCACTTTTGATCATATCGGCGAAAAGAAAAGAAAAAAATCAAACAAACGAACAAACAAACAAAAGGTCGTCAACATTTTTGCAGTTTGCCGACAATACAAGGCTTGACAAATCTAAATGTACCAACAAAAAATTTAAATGGAAATGTCACATCCCCATACCCTCCCCCTTTTATAGCGTTGCTCCTGTCCGTAATAACGGTCTACCTTTCTTCTAAAATGTGAATAAATAAATGCTGCTTTGATATAGCAAACCAGTATTTATTAGTGATAATACCACAACTAGTGTAGTTTTGTATGACCTGTTTAGAAAAAAAACATTTATTAGTGTTAATACCACAACTACTGTGGTTTTGTATTAGCAGTTTAGAAAAAAAGAATTCATTTATAAATTATCTTCGCCATTATCAGAGGAAGAAATGGAAGAAGAGGAAGAAGAAGGAGGAGGAGAAGGAGGAGGAGAAGGAGGAGAAGAAATAAATGAAGAAGAAAAAGGAGGAAGAGAAGGAGGAGCAAAATGATAAGAAGAAGAAAAAGGGAAAGGGGAGGGGGAGAAGAGACTTTTTTTCTTAATAAAGTAAAATAAATTAGGTAGATATTTTTCAATCTTACCTGTACTTCAACCTGTGTCTTGAGTGTATTTTGCAGCCATGCGTCTACCTCGACCGTTCCTCGCTCACAATGTCCAAAGTCATCACACTATTGGAAGAGGAGTGGGAGAACATTAGTCAGAATGGAATGGGGTGTTCGTGATGATGATGATGATGATAATGAAGATGTTGATAATGAATTTCCAATCTAATCCAGTCTATAAGATATTTCACACAGTGCTTGGTAAATTCTGGAGGTTTTTGTATTTCCTACATATTTCAAGCTTTTAGATTCACGATTCAAGATTCAATATTCAATGTATTGAATACTCGCAACCTTGACGATTGAATTGTTACTTGTTACTATATATTTCAAAAACTTATACAAATTACATACAGAGGGAAAAAAAACAGATAGTAAAAGTAAAGGTAAAATACAATGACAGAAAAAAAAGTGTACACAAATTGCAAATTTAATATTGATCTAGAAATGGGAAACCATGGGAATTTCATTGGAATAGAAACTAATTGAAACTAGGAAATTGTCAATTATGTGACAATTCATTTTTTATAAACATATCATTGTAGTATGAAACGGGGATGATGATGATGTAGTAATATGTAATTGTGAAGTATAGAGTATGCCCTAGCGACATGTAACCCCGAGCATTCAAAGCAAACTTTCTTTGGTATGTTCACTTCCCTGTAAAGTATTTTAACCCTAAACATGGTGCTCTCTCAGGGGGAGGAGTAGGTCCTCCCCAGATCCCGACCATAGGGTGACGAGAAATTCTGAATCTTGGCACATCGATAGGGCATCTTCTAATGAACAAGTCCGCCAAGTTGCATATCTACATCTGAAATGAAATTTGGCATTGTAAACTATATTTATGGAGAAAATCCATGGTATCAAACGATGCGTAAGATGTCATGAAAGCTAAAGGCTCCCATTTTGCCCGGACCCTTTCGGTGTTAATGTGTTTCTTCTTTTTTGTTTTAAAGGAATAAAAGTATGTTGTATGCTTACCGTACACACTACTTCTGTACTGACACCTCGGCAATCTGCACTTGATGATAAATGGTGGCACAGAACGATCTAAAGACAAAATAACATAGGAATCAGGATCACGTATATCATTCTTAGATAATCGGCATCGTATTTTACGATAATGATCTCGATTAAAAAGAAAACACTTTAATGAGCACATGACAAATACATAATATCGAAATGTATTGTTTGCATTTTATTATATGAAACACTCGGTTTATCTTCAGATCATAAGCAAAGGAAGTTGAATGTAATGATCTTGAGTTAGACATTGATTAAATGGGGTCACGGGTTGCATTTTTAAGATTAGTGAACAGACTCTATCCTATAGTTTCTGAAGTAGGACGACTCTGCTTCAATATAATTATTTAGTTCATTTTGTCACCGCAAAACTTACACTTTTTGTAAATAAAAAGAAAAACTATATACCTGCAAAATGATGATAAATCCAAGACAATTCTTCTTTCCTAAAATCTGCGCCATGTTTAGACAATTCTAAGCCACCAGGATGACTGAGTTCTAATAATATACCTGGTATTTGAACCAAGGAGATTTATGGTTATCTAGTCAAGCAAACAATCTGCATCCAAAGATCAAATATCATGTGGGCTGATAAATGGCATACACGAGGTATATCACCCATTAGACGTTTAGAAGCGCACTGAGATCAATCTACTAAAATGTTGTGGTACCGTTCTCATTGCAATTGAGATACAAACAAAGGGTAGTATTTAAAACGCCCTATTATATAAATCATCTGAGGACATTATCTCTGTGTGTCTGAGTCCCCAGCATATCGTAAATCAGAGTGTTACACACAGTTTCAATTAATCTGCGTGTATATACATGAATGATGTTGTTAAATGTGATGATACGGGTTTCATATACCAGGTACGATAGCGCTCTAGGAGAATAGGAAGAATATGAGTGAAGGCAATATCCGTTTAATGATTGAGTCAGAAAAGCTTTAAGTCTATGATAAATAAAGCACATGAGAAATCATCCCTCAGCAGAACATTATATCAGTTCCTAAAATAAAGATGACTTTGTCATGAAACCCGAATCATCACATTTGTGATCATCATTCATGACTAATTGCAATTAAGCTTTTCTCTGCTGTGCATGCAAAAGGAGTAATTTTGTCTAAATCTTTCATCAATAACTTCATCGTTAAATTTTCTCACTTTAGCTCGTACATTCTATTCTCTGAATAAGTTTCGTTTCAAGATATCTTCCTCAATATTTTTTTTTTTTTTTTTGTATTTTGTTGTTTAGCAGGTGATTATAAATGTGTTATTCATATTGCATTTAAACAGACTTACATATATGATTCATAACCTTTTGACCGAAGTGGTGGGTTCAAAAAACTAAAACTATATTCTCAATAATAATCGTCACTCGCTGATATAAACCTAGATGAATATGGTTTATCATGATGAGTATATATGCCGAGTGGGTAATGTAACTTTTGCTATATTCATGATAACACTGACGATGCCAATGACCTTTTAAGAATAGCAGGTTCGTTAGTATTGACCTCACCCTAATATCCACCATTTTATCTTGTAATTTCTGCGACTCAGATTTATACGGGACCAAATGAGGCCAAAGGGCATTTGAAAGTGAAGATCAAACATGCTAATTGCAGTCACTAATTGTCATCGCCCGCTTTAAAGCTTACATCACGAAACCAAACAAACTCCCTGAAATATTTTATGTTGCCCATAAAGTTGGAATAGATTTTTCTTACCTCTTTTCATGAAATGATTGTGGCCATATGATTTATTCTTAAAAGACAAAAATTAAAATCTTTTTAGAAATGTATTGATTCATGAAGAAAGATCAATTAAGTTGTAGAAAGATATATTATACTGTCTCAATCCTTTAATGAAAAGAGGATAGAACAATCTATTCCAGCTTTATGGGCAACAGGAACAACAATGACAAAAGATACGAAATGACAACACTTATAGCATTATCGATCAATAATAACGAAATTTTCCAATTGTCTTTACAAATGTTATTAAGACAACTATCAAATGACCGTATCATTTAACTGTAATGCCTTGATTGCCTTCATTACCTGTTACGAACTGTTACAGCAATAAGAGCTGTGTAATTAAACGTAATCAAGTAAACTTTAATGATAAGAAATCAATCACCACAGAAGTGCAAACAACTTAAACTATTTTAGGGGGAAATTGAACCGTTTATAAAATTCATGTAAATCAACTGCATCAGACTGTCTGCATTGGCTGTTGTATATCTACCATTATAACTACCTGAATAACACTTTTAAGGAGTTCGGACAAAATCATCGAGAAAATTGTCGCGTTCCAGCAACCTTTTGTTGACAGGTTGACAAATGGGAGTGCCACATCCTTTTAAGTAGGGCAACGGATACTAATTGGGAGCCCGACACTGCAAATTGAGGATAATTAGTTTCAGTGACAACGTTAGCAGTTATTCGGTTTTTTGTATTTACTCAAGCAGCCTTTGGTAAATGTTAAGATAATATTATCAAAGATTGACCCTCGAAATCTGTCCTATGTGAAATTTCAAAACTGCTGCATAAGGTTAATACTGACGTGATAATTGTTAAGAAGGCAAATTACAAAGGAATAATGGAGATCAAATTGTTGCCTATTTTCATTTTCATCAGCCAGGTAAGTTCTCATAAGCATTCAAAAAGTCGAGTATTAATAAGGTAAAAATATCTTCTCATTGATGATGATCATGATGATGAAAATTGTTTTACCTGACTGCTAAGAAAGCATGCATATGCTTGTAAGTAGAGAAAGGGGACTGACGATTTTAAGTCCTCCCCAGTGGACTTGGTAGTGGAGGTTAAGGTGCATTAGCGAAGGGCACGAGAGCTTTGACTTGGATTCGAATCCGGGACCCCTCATTTCCGCGACCACTGCTCTACCCTGATCCATTGCGCCTTCCCCATGTATGTACATTCGTGTATATAAATCAAGAATTTTAGTACAGATATAAATACGTTTATTTCTTTGAATATAAAAGTGACGGTTTTGCTTATTATTCAAAATGGTGAAATTTCGAGTAAACATAAAAGGATATTCAATATTGCCGCCATCCTTACAGTTATGCTGTATTAAGTTGTAGGTCTACAAATCAAATATCTAGATATCGCTACATTTCTACCATAACTTCTATTGTCAATAATTTTTAAACGGTCTTTGTAATTACCGTTTCTGGCAAGTACATAGTCTTATCTCTTCTTAATAATTTTAAACATCAGAATTTCCTTGCACCATGTAATACGTCAAATAATGATAATCCTTGCAATTATTGTTTTTAAAGGTATTGGTCGACAGTACAAGTGGGGTACAATGCATTGGACTCAGCGCTGACGTCGTTTGTGAGGTTAGACATTTTTAAATCTTGATACACCACATAATATGGTGATCAGGATGGTATAGATTTCGAATCAATTATACATGTAGGTCAAATCCAAACTATTTCGTCGCATACATTACCGACCACATCGACATTTTGTAAAATATCTGACGAGTGTAGCAATTTGCAAGCCCTACATTAGATTCTGGATCAGACCCAATATCAAGTATACAAAATATCACTTTTGGTATCCGTATAAACATATTCATAATTTCATAATATTTGTTAACGTATTGGACATCATTATGGCAAAATACATTGCCCCATTGCAACATGCACTATACAAAATATCACTTTTGGTATCCGTATAAACATATTCATAATTTCATAATATTTGTTAACGTATTGGACATCATTATGGCAAAATACATTGCCCCATTGCAACATGCACTTTGTAGGCAAAATACGCTTTGTTTTGGTTCTTACTAAGATGGCAGAACATTAGTGAAGATTTTATATATTTTGACACGATTTTGGCTTTAAAACCCAAACAGTAAGCACAAGGAAGAAAAAAGTTAGGGGTAAAAATTTGTTTAAAGTAAAAAATAAAAAAAACAACAACATTTAAATGAAAATCTTGAGTGAGTAAAACGTGTAACAGTGCTGATGGTCAGCAAATATATTCCAGGTTTCACATAATTTTAACAAAAATAGAGGGCTAAATGATTCTCTTCCGTCTGACAAAGCATAGTTTGACATTTACAAAACAATGGTGTCACTAAAGTAACATTGAACTGTTGCAATTGCAAAATATTATAGACCATCAAGTTGTCTGTTGGATTCATCTGTTAACTCTGTGTAAAATTATATGAGTTAAAAGATGAGTCTTTCTCTTGTTATATTCTGATGCTACAATCATTCTCATAATCAGTGTGATGGATATGGACGGTGTATGAAAGGAACACTTGAGATTGACCCCTGGTTACAGTTCGCTCTCAAAACGCAACGAGAAATTCAGGTGAGAAATTGCCTTATTCCACATTTTGAAAATACAACGAATATTATCATGATGATGGTTAGCTAAAGATTATAACGTTAATGATAGTGACAACGATGGCTGAGATGATAATGATAAGGGGAAGTTCTTGCAGTGGTGATGATAGTGGTAGCTTTGGTATAGTATATTAAAACTGTCGGAAGTTTTGAACTTAAAGAAACTGATGATAATTAAGTACCTTCAGAATTACAACAAAAATTTTAAATCTTCATAATCTTTCTTCAAGATTCATTCTATTAATATTCTAGAGTTCACAATTCTATATATTACTTTATTCAAAATGTTATTGGTTTATTGTGTTCTTTTATAATATCTGGTTTTACATGGAACTTCATGCTATGCCATTAATACATCACTGGGACTGATTCGTCTACAAAACTCAATATTAAAAACTAATGTCGTATTTGGTTGCCTGCATGTAAATGTTTATTTCGTCTCGTCCCTTGTTGATTTTATGAAGATTGATCTTGCCATCGACAGAATGCAAATATTTGATGTAAGTACACCATTTCCAATTAACTTCAATCATATACATATTTGATACAAATTTAGTCATTTTTGATTTTCAAACACAACTCAATTCAATTTAATTCCACCAGGGTGTATTAAAACATGACTGGTAGTCAAAGACTGAATTATACATGTTTTTACGGTGCAAGTAAATCACAATATATACAAATCGGAACAATAACAAAAGATGTATATGTAAACTGAATGTTAAAGATACACCAATTAGATTACATTGATCAAATTGTAATTACGAAATGAAGACAGGCAAAGTTTATCACATTTGACTGTCTGTGTTTGTCTAAACATTAGCCACATTCAGTTAAAATTATGACATAAAGTCCAACTATGATATCAGAGATTGTTTTAATAAGGTTTCCGGTCCCCTCGTTGTTTGTTTGGTTTTGTATATTGATTTTCGTTTTGGGATATGTAAGTACTCAGGATTGTGTTGTATAGATTAGTCTAATTTATGTTACTCATACAGTAATATGCATTTTGAAAATAAAGAACATATTTCGTACGACTAAATGGACAATATTTATGTTTATAAAATGGGTTCAAGAATGTAGCCAATTAAAAGCGTCGAAATGGATCACGTGTGCGTGCGTTATTTTTATCATACGCACGGGGAGTGCATTTTGGTGCTTACAGTCGTCAATTTCTCGACTTTATACTCATATTGTAGACCCATCTTATAAAACAAATAACACGTGTTTTTAGATCGTGCATTAGTGATATGCACTGCACTTGGTTAAGTCACAATGAGATGGACAATGAACTCGATAAGTCTTGTTCATTATCATACTGTGCCTTTAACCTCCTCGCCGTGCTTTTCACTAATGTACTCGCAAACATGTATTATTTGTATATTATCATATAATTAATACAAATTGCTAGTGTTTTAAACTTTAGTACTTTTCATCTTCACACATGCAGGCTCACAATGCATTTAATAATCGAGCTTATGGAGTTGCCTACGGAGGTATGTAAAATATATTAATTAAAGCAATTTTTTTCAATAAAAAAGTTAAAGATGTTATTCAACATCAAGATTGGGCTTTGCCTCTTTTGAATAGACACTCAATCATGAAGAAGAAAAAAATATGTTTGTAAATAAGCTAAGTCTGGAAGTGGCTCTAATGGGTTCCAACATGGCACCAAATGCCCTCCCTTTCTTCCCATTGCACCAAAATAGACAACTTAAAGGTAACATTTTAACAACAGCAACAAAATTGCGGGATACGAAGTCTGACGTGTCTTTTGAAGGTAGATCCACTATAGAGAAATACATCTCTGTAATCACTATCGCTATCGTTGATTTAAAATGCAGTTACTTAATAGTCTGATGATAATAGGCCTATTCAATGTGACCTTTGCAAAAACAAACAAAACATTTGTATCCTATCTTCTAGCAAATGATACATGTCAATGGCCGCCACCGTATGATAACGTCTGCTTAGGATGGGCCAATCATGAATTCAGTATCATCGACATGTTAAACATGGGAGTCAGAGCTGTGGAAATAGACAACTGGTATTGCGATGGTGAGGTACGCACGCTGAGAATACATTTTTTTAAAAATATATTATGGACTCAGAGGTGGCGCTCTCGGAGGCGAGGTGGAGAGGGGGGGGGGGGCACAGGGGTCCCCCCACTTTTTCAAGTGCCCAAAATATGCCCCCTTTTCTTCGACTAGTGACCCTTCTCCTGTGTAAAAGCCCCTTTTCAAGTCTTATAATTGCCCTTTTTACTTTGACACGTGCTCTTTTTACATAAGTGTCCCTTTCCCTTCTGATTTGTGCCCCATTTCCTATCTCCATAACATGTACCCCTAATTTAAAGCGATAACATGTATAAACAATGCAAATTATACACAATGCTCGCTCAGATTTATGGTTGATGCAATTACGTAACTTATTAAATGTCTTTATCAGTCTTTCATGATGAGGTTGTGCTTAAAATCCCCATCAGAAATGCTTTCCCTCTTTATAAGATCTAATTGGTCGCAATGTGTCCTCACAAAGCACGATTATTCAGACCATCACATCGAACTGCAAAGTGAAATGTTTAAGCAGTATCTTGAGGTCTTGAGATGGCTCCTTCCCAAGAACTCCCCGGTAGGTAGCAACATAATGAAACGCCAAATCCCGTACCAAGAGAGAGAGAGAGAGAGAGAGAGAGAGAGAGAGAGAGAGAAAGAGAAAGAGAAATGAGGGATAGAGATGGGAGAGAGATAGGGTGCGGGGTTTTGGTTTTGGAAGACAGGGGGGGGGGGGGTGGAAGGACGAGAAATTGAAATTGAAATTGAAGAGAAATTGTGAGAGTGTGGAAGAGTTAGAGAGAAAGAGAGGGGAGGAAATGGGGAGGGAGAGCTAATACCAATTGATATTCGGGGACACTCAATCATGATAATCGAGAACCTGTTAAGGAAATGAAGGAAATGTGCTTCTAAATCTCAAGAATGATATTATGATCCTTAAATAACCTACTGTCCATTTTAGTCTTGAAGGCATGCATTTGTGAATACACAATATGTTATTTTTCACATATATTTTGAATTCCAAATCGTTGACATATTTGACCACAAAAATAAATCTTTAGAAATTACCAATAAAATGTTTTACTCCTTTCTTATTTAGATGCGGGTTGCACATTTAGGAACACGGCGTGCCATAGGTTGCGGAGAGTTCAACGTACTCTTTTCTGACGTCATAGCAGACATCGGCCAGTGGATGCACGAGCCTGGAAATGAAAATGACTTTATTCGAATCTATATCAATGTATGAAAATGTTGACTCTATGAGTATTTTTATTTAATAATTATGAATATTTTCGTATTAAAATCAGGCATATCTCGATTTGTATGTTTTTTGATAACGTTGTGTGAAAAATGAATCACCATTCCATTATTTTGACCCCATACGAATCGATTTCATGTTCTTCTGAGTTTACTCCCAAACTGGAAATAAGCTTAAGGAACATACTTTTCAATTATTTCCAATATTAGACATTCATGATTCATCAAATGATTGTATGAATTTTGATGAATTAATGAAATGAAAGTTCAAACAGAAAAATAATCCCAGGCTGCCAACGTAAATTCAAAGTTTCTCTCATTCCTGAAATAGGTTTAATTACATCTTTATGGCATATTTATTTGTATTCTCCACACTGACTATGCCTACTTTGAAACTTAATATATTTGGGGATTTTTTTTTATTAAAGGAAAAGTATGACCAGGGTTACGATGCTGAAGTGAATGGTCCACTGGAGCGTTATCTGGGTCATGATGAGATCTTGAGTCCTGCTGATCTAAGGGATACATACAGAGGGGTGTACCCGACGCTTAGAAGGATGAGAGAGGTAAGAGTTAGGCCGAGGGGGTAGCCGATCTAAGGGATACGCATCGAGAGGTGTACCGAACCCTTTTAAAGGAGTAATGGTTTAAGAAAGGTTTTAAAAAAGGGGTAATCAATTAAAGTTATGACCTTTTATAACTGCTAGTTTTTCTTTAGCTAAAATTGGCATCCCTCTCATATATTTTTGTTTTCAATCGTCCTCTTCCCATGTCCTTAGATTAGCAAGACAGTGTGCGCTTGTAAAAATGACGCCTGGCTGGAATGCTCCCCAGGGAGTGGAGAACATGCATACATTGTGTGCGGATGAGCCTGAATCGAATGACCGGGGTAATAATATGATTGCAGGGCCCTCAGGGAGAACAGTATGAATACTGATGAGGCTACCCTGGGTAAACAAGACATATTATTATTAGTATTATTATTATTATTATTATTATTATTATTGTTATTATTGTTATTACTATCACTATTATTATTCCTCGTCCTCCTTCTCCTTCTTCTTATCCTACATGCACTCATTTTTGTTCTCCTTCTTCATCTCATTCTTTCCTCCTCATTATTCATCTTCTTCTCCTCTCTTCCTCCTTCTCCTTCTTTTTTAAAATTTTTCGTCTTCTTATTTTCATCTTCTTATTTCTTTTCTATTTCTTTTTCTTCTTATTAGTACTTCCTTCCCCTTATCCTTCCTCTTCGTTTCTATTTCTTCAACTAATGCTCCTTACTTGTCTTCTTTTTCTTCATTTTTTCATTAATGATAAGGAGAACATACCGCTTTTAGCGACATTTGGTTGAATGTTTGAAATGAGAGGAATATTAATTTTGTTTTCAATTATTCATTTCCATCAGGATGGTAAGAGAGTGTTCGTGGTAAGCGGAGATGATACCTTACATCAAGGTAAATACATCCATGTTGGGCAGTGTGACGGTTCAGGAGAGAATGCGGTAAGAATATTTGTACACCTAAATGAACAAAGAGTTCCATAGTTGGGAAAAAGGTCCGAAGTGTGTTCCTTTCATAGTGTGGTCATAATGTGCCATCCACGTATCAAACTCTTTCTTTACACCATGTGTAACCGTTGCTAGCTACATGTAAAAAAAAAACTTTAACAAAACGAGTGCCCAAGTGCACAGTGCGGATCATACTGTGTGTCGTACATTTCTGCGACTCTTTTTGTGACTATAGTGTGTCACATTAACACTGTTCATAATTATGTCACACAGCGTTATAACGGTTGGACCACAAAGGGTTCATAAATTATATAACACCACGAAGATGTGAACATCCACACCACGGGTTAAGATGTTATGTTTACATTTTGTGAGACTCTCTCTCTCTCTCTCTCTCTATGTGGCTACAGTGTACCATACTTCGTCTTATGTTAAAATCGTATGATCACTGTGTGTTTACAAATACAGCACCACAGTTGTCCAAATATACTGTGCCATCGCACAGTGATTTATACATTATAATTTTTTTTTTACTGTTAGCAGATATCACTATAGTATTAATGACTGCTTTGAGAGAAATAGTTGTTTTATTACGCTCAAGGGAAGGTTAGAATTGTGCTATTCCCCGAGGCTTGCCGAGGGGAATAGCCCAATTGTAACCTTCCCGAGAGCGTATGAAAACAACTATTTCTCGAATATTAAAGCAGTCATTAATACTTTTATATGCCGAAAAAAAATAGACTAAAAAATAAAAAATAAAAAATAATTTACATTTTTGTCGAAGACGGGATTCGAACTCTTGCGTACAACAAGAGGTGTATCGAAAACCAACGCTTAGACCACTCGGCTATCGCGCGCCGTTAACATGCTTGGCAGTTTTCTCCAATATATACATTAAAATGGATTGAAAACGGCTCCGCGTGAGGGATGCTTCGCAAAAGCTCCATGAAACGGACCCTTCTTTTACTTTTGCAATGCATATTGGCACGAACTTAGATCAAGATCTATCGGCAGATGTTGTTTTTTTTGTTTTTGAGAGTTAATTTTCGTCTTCATGTCAACAATGCAAGATAAAATTGTCGGTAAGATCGATCGAGATTCAATTGTATTGAAATTGCCGACCAATTTTTCGCACACGTATGGTATCCTCCATCGCTCAAACCATTTTTTAACATGTAAACCTATGGGGTAACCATGGAGACTGACCTATTTTTTTAATAACCATGGTTATTAAAAATATTGAAATGTTTTAAGCATGGTTACCGGGAATTTTACAGGAACAGTTGAAGTTTATGAATGCAATTCGACCAATCAGATGGCTGGATTTCTTAAGTGAGGTATATAATACGTAATGTTTCATTCACTTTGTCGTCACACTGTGCTACAAACTGTGAATAAAGTATTACACAGTGCGTTAACAATACATTGTGGTCAAACTTACACGATATTATTGTTCCAAATCCAACATGGGTGTTACACTGCAATTCTGTTTGTGGCAACCAGCGAAATTGTGTATCACTGTGTCACACAATGCGAAACCAGTATATCCACAATGTGTTCATATATTCCATAGATTTAAAGTATACAAATATGCCTTGTTGTTACAATTTCACACGTTACAAGTAGGCTATAGAATCTATATAGTATTTCACACTGGCAACTCTACAATGATTTTTATATCCTTCCTATGGGTGCTACTGTGGTGCGTACATTCCTCCACTCTCGTTGTGCCCACAGTATTTATCACTGTGTCACGCAAGTATTGTAAAAACAGTGTTACCACAGTTGTGTTCATACCGTTAAAATACCAGGAATGAACAGTACTGTAGTCTGAATTGTGTGATCACATTCAAACTATCCAATGATAGGTTATTTCAACTCTACCATGTATTTCGCAATCTTAATTATGTATATTGTTTCGTCTAGTTCACCAACTACCCACAGTGTGGCGGCAAAACGGAGACGTACTGCAGGAGATTTCGCGGTGACGCCACACATTACGTGTAAGTGATGTCTTCTATCAGACCAGTGTCTTATTTTCAGATTAAGATTTGTTTATTCTACCATTTTCAAATAATCTTTAATATTTTACTCCCATGATTTTATAGGACTTTCATTAATCTAGCCTCGGAATAGGTTTAGAGTAAATGAACACCAACAGACGAAACTTGTTGGGCGAAGTAGAGAAGAAGAATGTTACCTAGCAAGGGTGCTGTCAAAGTAGCAAGACCTAATTTTATCTCTCTGAAATTTTATTCAATTTTGTTTATTTGTACATGTGGCACTATTTGGGACTGCTTTGAATTGTTTTTGCAATCGGAATAAATTTCTTTCACTCACCCATAGTTGATGGTATTCCTCATTTATGAATGTGTTACATATGTGTATTTATTCTCTCTCATACTCAACTAAAATTGTCTGTCGAAATTGATACTTTCATGCAATGATATTTCAGAATATGCTCTATTGAACTTAGCCTTGAACACTTGTCTTATTAACATTACTTGAATTATTTTGATAAACCATCCACATCTTTTATACACTTCTAAAACTGGTATGATCGATAATATTGATGGATGATTTTACATTGTTATTTTGCTTTTGAATTTTGATGTTAGTAGTATAATGTAAATATCTGATTACTTTGTAAAACAGACAATATCAGTCTTGAGCTGCATGTCAAGTTGTTTTTAATAAAGAATTAAATTTAATAAAATAAGACGTATTTAAAAAAAATAGTTCTTCACGTATTCTTCACAATATCAGCGAATAATATTTTTGGTAATGGTAGATGCTACCTAGAGTTTGCAAAATTGTTAAAGCCTTGCTACCTGAAAACTATTGATGAGTTTTTGTCTTCATTTAGTCTTAACGTCATCTAAGGCGGGCCTATAGCGACCGATGCAATCACCGATCTTATTTTCGCTCAATATTATCTACTCGCTATATAGGCCGCGGAATCGTTCAAAAACCGTGATAATACGGGCATGACGGACAAGACACAAAGCTGAATATTTGAAAATGTCATTCGAAGGCATATTACGTTGACCGAACTCGTTAAAATATTATAAAATATCATCATGTCGATAAAAAAAAAATCAAATGGTGTAGCCTACCTTGTGTATACCCAGATTTGGCGCTATCTACGACGGACCTACAGCGAGCGGTGCGATCACGGATATGAGTGAGATGGTGAAATGTCGTATCAATCTTATTGCTACAGATATGGTAACCCCTCAACTCATGATGACTGGGGTCTATACGTGGGCCTATGGAGAACCATCAATACAGCTAGATGAAGACTCGTGTGTTATGTTAAAGTATGTACATGTATATTTCTAAAATATTGATGGACAGAAAATGAAGTGCACACTCGTTGACGGGGCTCTATTTGTATTTTAACTCAATCCTCTGAAAGAACTGAGAACATAATAGGCATCAAATTTCAAATGAGCTTAAAACCGAAAGGCTACTCTTTGCATTAATTTTTTGTCATACTAAAGATTGTAATTTTTCATTGTAAAATGTTTGACAAGCAGTTGTGTGATCAGTTATGAAATGATAATCAGGTCAGTGATTTGCTCAAGTCATGTGAAAATTAAATCAACAAATCACAACAGAGAAAAGGAAGAATTTGTCGTCCAACAGAAAGACCTTTAGCTCGGTCATACAGCGAATACGACTCAACACCGACATTTAGCCGACTGATTCTTGGCTAATCAATTACGTCTATTAGGCCTATTGACGGTCTAGTGTCCGTCTCGTTGGTGTAACTTGGGTATTAGGCCACCCAATCTGAGTTTTACTTGCGTCTCTTGGGCATAAACCATTTGGAAAATAATCAATTCAGTAAACAAACGAAAGCCTCCATAATCTATCGGAGAAGTCACCCATTTAAGATGTCGGTCAAAAGTCTAGTATACCATAAGCTTTCAATAACCATTTTAACAAACATAAAACTATAATTCATGCCTGGTACACGTTTTCCGTCACATCACAGCCATGAAGACTTTCGTTGGTATACGTCACCTGATTGCGACCAATCATTGAGCTACGCGTGTCAAAGTTCAACAGATCCTAATGACTGGTTGGTCAGCGAATCTACCGGCCCCTATGACGTCACGCGCGACTTGTGTCCCATTGGCTATAAGTTCAGTCTACCTCACAATGGATTCAGACAACAGAAGGTTAGTGGTCTTTGAATTTGTGAGTGGAAAGGGGTGGATCTAAGATTGTGTTACCCGGAGTGGGACTTTAAAAATATAATATACAAGAGAAGGAAGAAAATAAAAAGGATAATGATTTAGCTTGAAACACAACTATCATATTGCTCCGATTGTCTCATTTTCGCTCGCGTGAACATTGCCAGCACAAACCACTGACCTCTACCTCCTGAACCGATCATCGCCCATTCCCATTCACTATACGTTACGTACTAAAAGGCTGTATTGTCTGACCGTTCATGAATATTCATGTTTTTGCTAAACTCGGCAAAATGTTTGCTTTTACTAAATGGAAAAATTACGGTGGGGGGATTGGATGAAATGGACATAATGAAATAGGCAGAAGTGATCTATGATAATTCATGCGTTTTAAGTTTCGTGTGCTCGACCTATAATCTTCAAATCGCTTGGTAAACTGAGTCCAAAGTTAGACTTGTTTCACATGTGTATTATAGGCAATGACGAGCTTGCAACCTATTTTGAAAAATTACGGTGGGTGAACTTTCAAAAGTCAATGAGACATGAGGGCTCAAATGAAAGAGCTAGTGATAACGTACGTCGGGGTGGATGTGCTTTTCGTTTAAACAAAAAATGAATTTTTAACGATTTTTAAAAAAAACGTCCTTAGGCTAACATGTTAGGCTGCTGACGCTGACCATGCTCTGACGATAGGGGGCGTCGTGAAATGAGACTAAACGGAGCCATATGATACAATAAAGAGGAGACATCGAACGTGATTTTAGTTGGGGTTGTAGTGGTTGTACTATAATATCCCTTCGTATTTGCAATTATATTCGTTTGTTGTTTGTTTATTTTTCTTCTTTTGTTGTGGTTCTTTTGTAGTTGAAGGAGGCAATGCAAGAATCTTCTGTATGGCTAAACTTTACACCTTGGCTGACGGGTAACTTTCCCGTGACAGAAGCCCCTCTTACCAGCCCCTCAGGAAACTCAGCATATAACTTTAAACCCACTTGGACCTCTTCTTTAGTCGTGTTTCTTCCTGCGGCTGTTAGCTTAATGGTTTAGTGCAACGTTTTTCAACCTGGGTGCCGCAAGACATCTCCAGGGTGCCACGAATGAATTTTAGTAATACATATATTATACACTCGCTTCGCTCGCTCGCAATTTTAGAAACAGGATGATTTCTGGCAGCAAAGTGCCTGAATACCTCCATATTTCAGCGACGAGGCGCCCCAATAGCCTTCTATTTGACATCGAGGTACCTGACAAATTATATTACATCTTTTATATTACATTTAAAAACAGGATAATTCTGAGCAATGAGATGCCTGAATCTCCTCATATTCGTGCATCGAATAGGCAACATAGAATGATTTTTATATTCATGTATTCTGTAGCAGGCTGCCTGCATACTTAATTATGTACTTCATCTAGTGTGCTGATTAAAAAGTAGAATTTTTGTCATATCAAAAGTGTCTTCTTCTTTTTAGCTCGCTTGCTCTCGAAATTTAGAAACGAAATGTGCATATGTGGAGATGACACTTGACAAGTGTGAGGGTGATGCAAATTGAATATTATGTATAATGAATTTGGGATTGGAGTGACGCGAAACTTTTTGTTTATCTTAAAAGAGTGCCGTGACTATAAAAAAAAAGGTTGACAAAAGTTGGTTTTATTAATAGGGATATATGGGGGCACTGACGAGTCTCGCCCGAAAATCAACTTCTCCATATTAAAATACTTTATTGTAGTTGATATGTAATTTCATCAAAAAATATTTGATGATTGTGTGTTATGATAAATCAAATGTTGTAATAACAGTCTGCCACTCTGAGATTCTTGTTAGTTGATATTTCAATTTCATGTAATGAGATTTTAAATTTCGATAGATTACGAATTGTCTAAATATTTGATGGAAGTGAATATTACAAATAAAGGGCCTCTGTTTTAAATATGAATATATATATGTTTATGTATATAATATAGAGAGATGAAAATGGGTTCTAAGTTCAGAAAAAATGAAACTGGAGACATGTGTAGTGTTAGAGTTTGAATAAAAGTACTTATTAATACAGCTTTTAGGAGCAAACAGTTAGAACAAAATTTATGAACATAATTACAAGTGTGAAGGAAATACATATTCGTAAACTGTTCACATTTTCTTGGGTAAAAGGCAGGTGTCATCATTAATCGGAGAGAGAGGCGGAGAGATGAGGAAAGAGTGAAAGAAAAAAGGATTGGAGATGGAGAGGAGGGAGGAGAGAGGTGCAGTTAAAGGGGAGAAAAAACAGGAAAGATTTAAAATGAAAAGACATGAGAGAGAGAGAGAGAGACAGAGAGACAGACAGACAAAAAGGCATATGAGCATATAGAATTCAAGGCTATATATCGCTGTATGTGTCTTTCACGTGTGCAAGGCAAATGTTTAAAAAATGTACATAAGCTTTAATAGAGAACTTTGGACTTCTTCATATTTTGGGGGAGAACAATTTATTCTAGCTTCATGGGTAACAGGAACAACAATGACAAAAAATAAGAAATGACAACACTTATAGCATTATCGATTTAATCAATGATACAGCAATTTTCCAACTGTCTTTACAAATTAATATTAAGACAACTATCAAATGACCGTATCATTTAACTGCGATGCCTTGATTGCCTTCAGTACCTGTTACGAACTGTTACAGCAATAAGAGCTGTGTAATTAAACGTAATCAAGTAAACTTTAATGATAAGAAATCAATCACCACAGAAGTGCAAACAACTTAAACTGTTTTAGGGGAAATTGAACCGTTTATAAAATTCATGTAAATCGACTGCAACAGACCTGTCTGCACTGGCTGTTGTATATCTACCGTAATAACTATACCTGAATAACACTTTTAAGGAGTTCGGACAAAATCATCGAGAAAATTGTCACGTTCCATCAACACTTTGTTGACATGCGCTGATATTAGGGTGTCATACCCTTTTAAGTAGGGCAACGGATACTAATTGGAAGCCCGACACTGCAAATTCAGAATAATTAGTTTCAGTGATACCGTTAAGAGCTACTCGTTTTTTGTATTTACTCAAGCAGTCTTGGTAAATGTTACGATAATATTATCAAAGACTGACCCCCGAAATCTGTCCTATGTGAAATTTCAAAACTGTTGCATAAGGTTAATACTGATGTGATATTTGTTAAGAAGGCAAATTACGGAGGAATAATGGAGATTAACTTGTTGCCTATCTTCATTTCCATCAGCCAGGTAAGTTCTCATAAGCATTCAAAAAGTCGAGTATTAATAACTTAAAGGTAAAAAGATCTTAACATTGATAATGATGATGATGATGAAAATTGTTACCTGACTGCTAAGAAAGGATGCGTATTCTTGTAAGTAGGAAAAGGTGACTGACGGCTTTAAGTCCTCCTCAGTGGACTTGTTTATGGAGGTTATGATGCATTACCGAAGGGCACGAGAGCTTTGACTTGGATTCGAATCCGGGACCCCTCGTTTCCGAGACCACTGATCTACCCCTGAGCCATTGCGCCTTCCCCATTTATATACATTCGTGTATATAATTCAAGAATTTGAGAACAGATATAATTATATACATTTATTTCTTTGAATATGACAGTAACCGTTTTACGTATTATTCAAAATGGTGACATTTTGACTGAACATAAAACGATATTTAATATTGCCGCCATCCTTTATGCTGTAATACGTTGTATGCCTACAAATAAAATATCTAGATTTCGCTGAAATTCTGCCATAATTTCCATTGACAATATTTTGTAAACGGTATTTTTAATTATTGTTTTTGACAAGTACATAGGCTTATCACTTCTTAATCATTTAGAATATTTTGAATTTCCTTGCGCCATGTAATATGTCAAATGATTATAATCCTTTCATTTTCTTGTTTTTAAAGGTGTTGATCGGCAGTACAAGTGGGGCACAATGCATTGGACTCAGCGCTGACGTCGTTTGTGAGGTTAGACATTTTTAAATCTATAATTGATACACCACATAATATAGTGATCAGGATGATATCGATTCCGGATCAAATAATGGGCAAATCCAAACTATTTCGTCGCGTACATTACCGACCACATCTAAATGTTGTAGTATATCTGAAGATTGTAGCAATTTGCAAGCCCTCCTAGATTTAGGATCAGCCCATATATCAAGTAACAAGCACTTTTGGTGTCCATATAATATTCATAATATCATATTATTTGGTAACGTATTAGACATCATTATGACAAAATACAATGCCGGATTGCAACATGCACCTTGTAGACAAAATATGCTTTGTATTTGGTCCTTACTGTGACGGCAGAACATAAGTAAGGATTTCATATATTTTGAGACGATTTTGGCTTTAAAACCCAAACAGTAAGCACAAAATGGCACATGCGAAGAAGAAAAAAGTCAGGGGTGAAGTTTTTGTTTTTAAAGTTAAATTTCTTTTAAATTTCATGTAAATAATAACATTTAAATGAAAACCTTAAGTGAGTAAAAATTGTTACAAAATTGATGGTCAGCAGATTTATTTCAGGTTTCAAAAATTATAACAAACATGGATGGCTGAATGATTCTCTTCCGTCTGGCGAGCATATTTTGTTATTTTAAAAACAACGGTGTCACTAAAAGTGACATTGAACTGTTGCAATTCAAAAATATCACAGACCGTCAATTTTTCTATTTGGAGTCAGCAGGGTGTAAACTCTGTGTAAAATGATATGAGTTAACAGATGAGCCTTTCTCTTGTTATATTCTGATGCTACAATATTTCTCATATGATATTAGTGTGATGGATATGGACGGTGTATGAAAGGGACACTTGAGATTGACCCCTGGTTACAATTCGCTCTCAAAACGCAACGAGAAATTCAGGTGAGAAATTGCCTTATTCCACATTTTGAAAATACAACGAACATTATCATGACGATGACCAGTTGATGATGATAATGTTAATGATAATGACAACGAGGGCTGATAAGGGGAAGGACTTGCAGTGGTGATGAAACTGATAGCTTTGATAATATACAGTTATCTAAAACCTTCAGAAGTTTTGAACTTAAAGAAACCGATGAAAATTAACTATCCTTCAAAATTACAATAAACTTTTAAATCTTCATGATCTTCAAGACCCGTTCTATTAATATCTAGAGTTCACAATTCAATATATTACTTGATTCAAAATGTTATTGGTTTATTGTGTTCTTTTATAATATCTGGTTTTACATGGAACTCCAGGCTATGCCATTAATACATCACTGTGACTGATTCGTCTACAAAACTCAATATTAAAAACTCATGTCGTATTTGGTTGCCAGCATGTATTTGTTTATTTTCATCTCGTCCCTTGTCGATTTTATATAGATTGATCTTGCCATCGACAGAATGCAAATATTTGATGTAAGTACACCATTTTTAATTAACTTCAATCATATACGTATTTGATACAAATTTTAGTTATTTTTGATTTTCAAACACAACTTAATTCAATTTAATTCCACCAGGGTGTATTAAAACATGGCTGGTAGTCAAAGACTGAATTATACATGTTTTTATACGGTACAAGTAAAATACAATATATATACAAATTGCAACAATAACAAAACGTGTAAACTGAATGTTAAATATACACCAATTAGATTACACTGATAAAATTGTAATTACGAAATGAAGACACGCAAAGTTTATCACATTGGACTGTCTGTGTTTGTCATAACATCATTAGCCACATTTAGATATAATTAATACATAAAGTCCAACTATGATATCAGAGATTGTTTTAAGAATGTTTCCGATCCCCTCGTTGCTTGTTTAGTTTTGTATATTGATTTTCGTTTTGGGATAATTATGTAAATGCTCGGGACTGTGTTGTATAGATAACTCTTATCTAATGTTACTAAAGAGGTAAATATACAGTATTATACAATTTATAAATGTAGAACATAATTATTTCATACAACTATAGTACATGGACAATATTTATATATGTATATACTCTATAATACTGTTGATACAAAATGCTAGGGCTTTAAATGTTAGTACTTTTCATCTTCACACAGGCTCACAATGCATTTAACAATCGAGCTTATGGAGTTGCTTATGGAGGTATGTAAAATATTATTTAATGTAAAATATTATTTAAAGCAATTTTTCAACCAAAAAGTCAAAGATTGGGCTTTGCCTCTTTTGAATAGACACACAATCATAAAACCTTTCCTTACCCCCTCCCAACTCCTCTCTTCCCATTGCACCAAAATAGACAACTTAAAGGCAGCATTTTAACAACATCAAAAACAATGGGGGGGATTTGAAGTCTGACGTGTCTTTTGAAGGTAGATCCGAAATACATTGGAAATTCTGATTGGGTCACTGAACCTGTCATAAGCTGACAGATCACTATTGATTATGATGAATCACTACCACATATTGTGCACGTTTACTCGCTATCGGTGATTTCAAAATGAAGTTACTGAACATTGTGATGATAATAGGTCTATTCAATGTAATCTTTGCACCAACAAATTAATCTTTATCCTGTCTTCTAGCAAATGATACATGTCAATGGCCGCCACCGTATGATAACGTCTGCTTAGGATGGGCCAATCATGAATTCAGTATCATCGACATGTTAAACATGGGAGTCAGAGCTGTGGAAATAGACAACTGGTATTGCGATGGTGAGGTAAGCACGCTGAGAATACATTTTTTTTGGTTTAAATCATGGACTCAGAGGTGGCGCTCTCGGGGGCGAGGGGGGGGGGGGGTCCCCCACTTTTTCAAGTGCCCCAAATATACCCCTTTTTCTTCTAGTGACCCTTCTCCTGTGTAAAAGCCCCTTTTCAATTCTTATAATTGCCCCTTTTACTTTGTCACGTGCTCTTTTCCATTTCTAATATAAGTGTGCCCTATTTCCTATTTCCATAACACTATACCCATAATTTAAAGCGATTAAGAGCAACTTTTCGCAAAACGTTTGTTCCTCTTTTTCCTCAAATTGGCCGCAATGCGACCTCACAAATCTTAAATGGTTATTCAGACCATCACATCGAACTGCAAAGTATAATGTTTAAGCAGTATCCTTTACTATCTTGAGGTCTTGAGATGGCTCCTACTAAAGAACTCCCCGGTAGGTAGCAACATAACGAAACGCCCAATCCCCTACCCACCCCTCGCCGTCGACACCCCTCATCTTCATAGATAGTTTATTGGTTTCCACAATATCTCATTTTACAAAGAGTGTAACAACATATTGAAAATGATTATAACATACATGTACATACAATACCGGTACACACTATTCAGAATATTGTCCACTGAGTTGAACTTAAGAGATATACTGGCGGAGCCTATGGAAAAGCAAAGCTTGTTGGGAAAGGCTCCTTTAACTACGAATGACAGACAAATGACAGATAGACAGATAGACAAATGACAGATAGATGTTAGTTAAGACTCATCCTAAGCTTTGCATCTCTAGGACCGAATTTTAATTATTTTTAAATTTTCCACCGAACTTGTTGCTTGTAAATTTCAAGAGAGGTCCACCTTGATCTTAAAGGCATGCATTTGTGAATACACAACATATTAATTTTCACATATTTTTTGAATTTCAAATCGTCGACATAAATTATTTGACCACAAAAATATATCTTTAGAAATTACCAATATAATGTTTCACTCCTTTTTTTTTTATTTAGATGCGGATTGCACATTTGGGAACAGAGCGTGCCATAGGTTGCGGAGAGTTCAACGTACTATTTTCTGACGTCATAGCAGACATTGGCCAATGGATGCACGAGCCTGGACATGAAAATGACTTTATTCGAATCTATATCAATGTATGAAAGTATTGACTTTACGAGAATTTTGATTTAATGCTTATGTATATTTTTGTATTATAATCATGCAAACCTTCGTATTTCTTCATATTTTTGTAATAACGTTGTGTGAAAAACGAATCACCATTCTATTATTTTGATCCAATACGAATCGTTTTCATTTTCGTCTGAGTTTACCCCCAAACTGGAAATAAGCTTAAGGAACATACTTTTTCAATTATTAGCGATATTAGATATTCATGATTCATCAAATGATTGTATGAATTTCGATGCATTAATGAAATGAAAGTTCAAATAGAAAAATAAGCCCATGCAGGGTGCCAACGTTAATTTAAAGTTTCTCTCATTCCTGAAATACATTTTATTACATCTTCATGGCATACCTTTTTAAATTCTCCACACCGATTATGTCTATTTTGAAACTTAATATATTTGGGGATTTTTTTTTATTAAAGGAAAAGTATGACCAGGGTTACGATGATGAAGTGAATGGTCCACTGGAGCGTTATCTGGGTCATGATGAGATCTTGAGTCCTGCTGATCTCAGAGATACATACAGAGGGGTGTACCCGACGCTTAGAAGAATGAGAGAGGTAAGAGTTAAGCCGAGGGTGCATGTAGCCGATTTAAGGGATATGCATCGAGAGTTGTGGCCAACAATTTTAAAGGATTAATGGTTTAAGAAAGGTTTTAAAAAAAGGGGTAATCAATTAAAGTTAGGACCGTTTATAACTTCTAATTTTTCTTAAGCTAAATTCGGTATCCCTCTCGTTTATTGTTGTTTTTATTCGTCCTCTTCCTCTACCTCATCATCTTCCTCGTCCTACTTCTCCTCCTTCTCTTTCTTCTTATCCTATATGTACCCATTTTTGCTCTCCTCCTTCGTCTCGTTCTCTCCTCTTAAATCTTCATCTCCTCTCTTTCTCCTTCTCCTCCTTCTTTTTTTATTTTCGTCTTCTCGTTTTCCTTCTTCTTCCCCTTCTTCTTACCTTTTCCAACTTATTGTTCCTTCTCCTTTCTTTTTCTTCCATTAATTCTCCTCACTCGTCTCCTTCATTTTTTTCATGAATGATAAGGAGAACAGACGCTTTTAGCGATATTTGGTTGAATGTTTGAAATGAGAGAAATATTAATTTTGTTTTCAATTATTCATTTCCATCAGGATGGTAAACGAGTGTTCGTGGTAAGCGGAGGTGATACCTTACACCAAGGTAAATACATCCATGTTGGGCAGTGTGACGGTTCAGGAGAGAATAAGGTAAAAATATTTGTTCAATATCCTACACTTAAATGAACAAAGAGTTTCTCAGTTGGGAAAGAGTGTGATCATAATGTGCCATCCACGTATCAAACAATTTATTTACACCATGTGATACCTTTGGTCACAAAGTGACCACAAAATACACTATGTGTAACCATTGCTAGCTATATGTAAAACAAAACTTTAACAAAACGAGTGCCAAAGTGCACAGTGCGGGTCATACTGTGTGTCGTACATTTCTGCTGCTCTTTTTGTGACTATAGTGTGCCACATTAACACTGTTCATATGTCACACAATGTTATAACGGTTGGACCACAAAGAGTTCACATATTTAACACCACGAAGGTGTGAACATCCACACCACGGGTTAAAATGTTATGTTTACATTTTGTAAGACGCTCTCTCTCTCTCTCTCTCTCTCTCGCTCTGGCTACAGTGTACCACACTGTGTCATATAATTTTAAAATCGTATGATCACCGTGTTAAAAAATACAGCACCACAGTTGTCCAAATAAACTGTAACATGACGCAGGGATTTATACATTATAAGTTTATTTACTGTGAGCAGATATCACTGCGTAATGTTTCATTCACTTTGTCGTCACACTGTGTTACAAACTGTGAATAAAGTATTACACAGTGCGTTAACATTGTAGTCAAACTTACACACTTGTTCCAAATCCATCATGGGTGCTACACTGCAATTCTGTTTGTGGCGACCAGCGAAATTGTGTATCACTGTGTCACATAATGCAAAACCAGTATATCCACAGTGTATTCGTATATTCCATACATTTAACGTAACTATACAAAAATATGCCTCGTGGTTGCAATGTCATACTTTACAAATAGGCTATAGAATCTATACAGTGTTTTACACTGGCAACTCTACAAAATATTTGCATGTCCATCATATGGGTGCCACTGTGGTGCGTACATTCCTCCACTCTCGTTGTGTCCACAGTGTTTATCACTGTGTCACGCAAGTATTGTAAACACTGTGTTGTCGCAGTTGTTTTCATACCGTTAACACCACAGAAGCGTGCATGAACTGTACTGTAGTCTGAATTGTGTGATCACATTCATTGTATCCAATAGTAGGTTATTTCAACGCTACAGTTTACCATGTATTTCGCACTCTTAACTATCTTCATTGTTTTGTCTAGTTCACCAACTACCCACAGTGTGGCGACAAAACGGAGACGTACTGCAGGAGATTTCGCGGTGACGCCACACATTACGTGTAAGTGATGTCTTCTATCAGACCAGTGTCTTATTTTCAGATTCAGATTCGTTTATTCTACCACTTTCAAATAATCTTTAAGCTTACTCCCATGATGTTATAGTACTATCATTAATCTAGCCTCGGAATAGGTTTAGAGTTAATGAACACCGACAGATGAAACTTGTTGGGCGAAGTAGAGAAGAAGAATATTACCTAACAAGGGTGCTGTCAAAGCAGCAAGACCTTATTTTATTTCTCTGAAGTTTAATTCAGTTTTGTTTATTTTTTACGTATTCTTCACAATATCAGCTCATGAATAACATTTTTTAATGGTAGATGCTACCTAGATGATGCAAAATTGCCTCGCTACCTGAAAATTATTGATCAGTTTTTGTCTTCATTTAGATTCAACGTCATCTAGAACAGTTTTATTTCAATCAGTAATTATCTAGCTATGTGTCGCGGAATCGTTCAAAATAGGAGTGGCAAAAAAAAAAAAAAAATTGAATCATCACGGCGTTTGTAATTATGATCATGTTAAATTAATTTGATGTAAACATAGAAGCCGCAATAATTATGAAAATTGAATTTTACCTATTCTACTCAGATTTGGCGCCATCTACGACGGACCTACAGCGGTGGGTGCAATCACTGATATGAGTGAGATGGTGAAATGTCGTATCAATCTTATTGCTACAGATATGGTAACACCTCAACTCATGAAGACTGGGGTCTATACGTGGGCCTATGGAGAACCATCATTACAGCTAGATGAAGACTCGTGTGTTATGTTAAAGTAGGTAGATTTCTAAAATATTGATGGACAGAAAATGAATTGCACACTCGTTGACGGGGCTCTATTTGTATTTGAACTCAATCCTCTGAAAGAGCTGAGAACATAATAGGCAACAAATTATAAATGAGCTTTAAACCGAAGGCTACTCTTTGCATTTTGCCATACTCAAGATTGTAATTTTTCATTGTAAAATGTTTGACAAGCAGTTGTGTGATCAGTTATGAAATGATAATCAGGTCAGTGATTTGCTCAAGTCATGTAAAAATTAAATCAACAAATCACAACAGAGAAAAGGAAGAATTTGTCGTCCAACAGAAAGACCTTTAGCTCGGTCATACCGCGAATACGACTCAACACCGTCATTTAGCCGACTGATTTTTGGCTAATCAATTACTTCTATTAGGCCTATTGACGGTCTAGTGTCCGTCTCGTTGGTGTAACTTGGGTATTAGGCCACCCAATCTGATTTTTACTTGCGTCTCTTGGGCATAAACCATTTGGAAAATAATCAATTCAGTAAACAAACGAAAGCCTCCATATATCTCTCAGAGAAGTCACCCATTTAAGATGTCGGTCAAAAGTCTAGTATACCATAAGCATTTGTGAGTTTTCAATAACCATTTTAACAAACATAAAACTACAATTCATGCCTGGTACACGTTTTTCTTCACATCACAGCCATGAAGACTTTCGTTGGTATACGTCACCTGATTGCGACCAATCATTGAGCTACGCGTGTCAAAGTTCAACAGATCCTAATGACTGGTTGGTCAGCGAATCTACCGGCCCCTATGACGTCACGCGCGATATGTGTCCCATTGGCTATAAGTTCAGTCTACCTCACAATGGATTCAGACAACAGAAGGTTAGTGGTCTTCAAATTGGTGAGCGGAAAGGGGTGGATCTAAGATTGTGTTACCCGGAGAGGGACTTTAAAAAAATAATATACAAGAGAAGGAAGAAAATAAAAAGGATAATGATTTAGCTTGAAACACAACTATATACAATAAAGAGGAGACATCGAACGTGATTTTAGTTGGGGTTGTAGTGGTTGTACTACAATATCCCTTCGTATTTACAATTATATTCGTTTGTTGTTTGTTTATTTTTCTTCTTTTGTTGTGGTTCTTTTGTAGTTGAAGGAGGCAATGCAAGAATCTTCTGTATGGCTAAACTTTACACCTTGGCTGACGGGTAACTTTCCCGTGACAGAAGCCCCTCTTACCAGCCCCTCGGGAAACTCAGCATATAACTTTAAACCCACTTGGACCTCTTCTTTAGTCGTGTTCCTTACTGCGGCTGTTAGCTTAATGTTTTAGGGCAACGTTTTTCAACCTGGGTCCAGCAAGACATATCCAGGGTGCCACGAATGAATTTTAGTAATACATATATTATACACTCGCTTCGCTCGCTCGCAATTTTAGAAACAGGATGATTTCTGACAGCAAAGTGCCTGAATACCTCCATATTTCAGCGACGAGGCGCCCCAATAGCCTTCTATTTGACATCGAGGTACCTGACAAATTATATTACATCTTTTATATTAAAATTACATTTTGATCACGCTCGTTCACTTCACTCACTCGCAACAATTAAAAACAGGATAATACACCAGTTTACAGTTGTATCAGTGCGCATGCGCAGACATGGGCGCCATTTTAAATGGTGAGTAAACAAAGTCAATGACCCGAGGTCACGTCAGTGGTATTTAGGCTAAGCGTAAATTAAGATTGCGCCCATGCAAATACACCAGTTTACAGTTGTATCAGTGCGCATGCGCAGACAGTTGACCTCGAGTCATTGGCCCCGGAAGCGGGGCCAATAACCTTTGACCAGTGGTATTTATGCGTAAATTAAGATTGCGCTCATGCAAATGATGATGTGCGCGCACAACGCAGCGCGTAGGCAGTGATATCATCATAATTTGCATAGGCGCAATCTTGATTTAAGCATAAATACATGACCTCTAGGTCATTGGCCTTGTTTAAAATGGCGCACACCACTGTAAACTGGTGTATTATGATAACATCACTGCCTGCGCGCTGCGCTGTGCGCTCACATCATAATTTGCATGGGCGCAATCTTAATTTACGCACAAACCAAATGACCTCTAGGTCATTGGCTTTGTTTACTCGCCAATTAAAATGGCGCACGCAACTGTAAACTGGTGTATTCTGAGCAATGAGGTGCCTGAATCTCCTCATATTCGTGCATCGAATAGGCAACATAGAATGATTTTTGTATTCACGTATTCTGTAGCAGGGTGCCCGCACACTTAATTCTGTACTTCATCTAGTGTGCTGATTAAAAAGTAGAATTTTTGTCATATCAAAAGTGTCTTCTTCTTTTTAGCTCGCTTGCTCGCGAAATTTAGAAACGAAATGTGCCTATGTGGAGATGACATTTGACAAGTGTTAGGGTGATGCAAATTGAATATTATTTATAATGAATTTGGGATTGGAGTGACGCGAAACTTTTTGTTTATCTTAAAAGAGTGCCGTGACTATAAAAAAAAGGTTGACAAAAGTTGGTTTAGGGATACATGGGGGCGCTGACGAGTCTAGCCCAAAAATCAATTTCCCCATCTTTAAATAATTTATTGTAGTTAATATGTAATTTCATCAAAAAATATTTGGTGATAATTTTGTTATGATAAATCAAATGTTGTAATAACAGTCTGCCACTCTGAGATTCTTGTTAGTTGATATTTCAATTTCATGTAATGAGATTTAAAATGTCGATAGATTACGAGTTGTCTAAATATATTTTGATGGAAGTGAATATTACAAATAAAGGGCCTCTGTTTTAAATATAAATATATGTATGTTATGTATATAATATAGAGAGATGAAAATGGGTTCTAAGTTCAGAAAAAATGAAACTGGAGACATGTGTAGTGTTAGAGTTTGAATAAAAGTACTTATTAATACAGCTTTTAGGAGCAAACAGTTAGAAAAAAATACATGAACGTAATTACAAGTGTGAAAGAAATACATATTCGTCAACCTTTAACATTTTCTTGGGTAAAAAGCAGGTTTCATCATTAATGGGAGAGAGAGGCGGAGAGATGAGGAAAGAGTGAACGAAAAAAGGATTGGAGATGGAGAGGAGGGAGGAGAGAGGTGCGGTTAAAGGGGAGAAAAAACAGGAAAGATTTAAAATGAAAAGACATGAGACAGAGAGAGAGAGAGACAGAGACAGACAGACAAAAAGGCATATGAGCATATATAATTCAAGGCTACACACAAAAAAACGGAACTAAGTATGGTGAGTAAAAATCGTAGCTCACTCATTCAGTCGAGAGAATATAATAAATGCATTATTTTACACATTTGGTGAAATTCTACACACATGATATTTAAAACGAGTATGCGACCCGATTATTTTCTCGATGAGTCTTTTTACTCATTAAAGTACATCATGTAAGTTAATATTGGATGAGTTTTCTCCATCTTTAATGACCGAATGAATACAAATATTCACAAGTGTGTAGAGTGGCTTTTTGCTCCCTAATAATTATGTCACATACACTTTAATCGTTGTATGAGTAAAAAAAAAAAAAAAAAAACTCAGTCTCTTCGAAGCTGTACTCGTCTTAAGAGCTATCTTACTCTTTGCATGCGTGTAAATATTTCGCTCATGAAAAGGCAGAAAAGGGGCCGTAAGAACGGCGATATAACCTGACTGACTGACTGAGTAATTGAAGCATTACTCACCAGTTGAGTTGGAGCGATTTACTCACAACATTAGGTTAAATAACTCAATAATTTAAAATACTCATTTGCCATGTCACTATAATGTCAAATTAACAAAACTCGTTCCTGTGCATTATTATTTTCAATTTAATGAGATAATGCATTCACTTAAGTGTGTTACTATAGTGTCAAAGTTTATTTGCCTATTTGAGTAAGATTACCCAAACATTTCTTTGTGTGTATCTAATATCGATGTATGTGTCTTTCACGTGTGCAAGGCAATTGTTTAAACAAGGTACATAATCTTTAATAGAGAACTTTGGACTTCTTCTCCATATTTTGGGGGAGAACAATTTATTCTAGCTTCATGGGTAACAGGAACAACAATGACAAAAAAATAACGAAATGACAACACTTATAGCATTATCGATTTAATCAATGATACAGACATTTTCCAACTGTCTTTACAAATTAATATTAAGACAACTATCAAATGACCGTATCATTTAACTGCGATGCCTTGATTGCCTTCAGTACCCGTTACGAATTGTTACAGCAATAAGAGCTGTGTAATTAAACCTAATCAAGTAAACTTTAATGATAAGAAATTAATCACCACAGAAGTGCAAACAACTTAAACTATTTTAGGGGAAAATTGAACCTTTTATAAAATTCATGTAAATCAACTGCAACAGACCTGTCTGCACTGGCTGTTGTATATCTACCGTAATAACTACCTGAATGATACTTTTAAGGAGTTCGGACAACATCATCGAGAATATTGTCACGTTCCATCAACATTCTGTTGACGTGCGCTGAAATTGGGGTGTTACACTCTTTTAAGTAGGGCAACGGATACTATTGGGAGCCCGACACTTCAAATTGAGGTTAATTAGTTTCAGTGACAACGTTAGCAGTTATTCGTTTTTTTGTATTTACTCAAGCAGTCTTTGGTAAATTTTAAGACATTATTATCAAAGACTGACCCTTGAAATCTGTCCTATTTGAAATTTCAAAACTGTTGCAAAAGGTTAATACTGACGTGATAAGGCAAAATTACGGAGGAATAATGGAGATCAAATTGTTGCCTATCTTCATTTTCATCAGCCAGGTAAGTTCTCATAAGCATTCGAAAAGTCGAGTATTAATAATGTAAAAAAATCTTCATATTGATGATTATCATGATGACGAAAATTGTTTTACCTGACTGCTATAAGAAAGGATGCATATTCTGGTAAGTAGGAAAAGGTGACTGACGGCTTTAAGTCCTCCTCAGTAGACTTGGTACTGAAGGTTAGTGCCTTACCGATCAGGGCACGAGAGCTTTGACTTTGATTCGAATCCGGGACCCCCCAGTTCCGAGACCACTGCTCTACCCCTGAGCCATTGCGCCTTCCTTCTTTATATACATTTGTGTATATAAATCAAGAATTTGAGTACAGCTTTAAATACATTTATTTCTTTGAATATAAAAGTAACAGTTTTGCGTATTATTCAAAATGGCGACACTGCGAGTAAACTTAAATGGATATATAACATTGCCGCCATCCTTACAGCTATGTTGTATTAAGTTGTATAGGTCTGCAAATCAAATATCTAGATTTCGCTAAAATTCTACCATAGTTTCCATTGACAATATTTGTAAACGGTCTTTTTAATTATTTTTTTGACAAGTACATAGGCTTATCACTTCTTAATCACTTAGAATATATTTTGAATTTCCCTGCTCCATGTAATAGGTCTAATGATTATAATCCTTGCATGTTATTGTTTTTGAGGTATTGGTCGACAGTACAAGTGGGGCACAATGCATTGGACTCAGCGCTGACGTCGTTTGTGAGGTTAGACATTTTTAAATCTATAATTGATACACCACATAATATAGTGAACAGGATGGTATAGATTTTGAATCAATTATACATGTAAGTCAATTCCAACTATTTCGTCGCCTACATTTGAACTCTCAAAGTATATGTTGCCTTTTTGTCAAGGTCTAATACTTACCGAAATATGCTAATAGTTACTTTTCATCGGATTTAAAAACTAATTTCTGTCTATGCTATAATGTTAAATTAAAATATCATACTTATGCAACAACGTTTTCTTGAATGTAAAGCAAAGCAAAACAAAACAAACAAACCATTCTTTTATTAAGAGGGTACCAAATACTTTGTATGTTTGTTTATATATGTTCATACTTACTGTTTATTGCTGTTATAAATTTGTGTTCAAGATTTTGTAATTAATATTATTATTATTATTATTATATATATATACATTTGTTAAACTATAATGTACCTCATTGAGTTTAAAGATAAACTTGAGTTCTGGTAAAAGAAGAAAATGAATTCTCACATAATCTAACGAAACTTACACTGAATGTTCAAGATTACAAATAAATGTCATGTGCCAAACAATTTTGAAAGAAAATATATACTGGCTGAGTAATGAGCATAGAAAGATAAGGAAATCAGGGTACTACTGGCCCCGACACCATGTGCGTTGTCCAATATACGTCTTTCTGTGTAAGTGATTGTTACTTTACCAAGACTCTGCCAAATTTATGATGATTTTGATGACCATAGAACCTTGCATTACACACCATTACTTGCATGCTATATGATCAACTTTTCTGATCCATTCCACACCTTTTCTTTCACAATGCAATCGCATTACCAGTACTCAAGTTTATCTTTAACAGGGCCTCATGGAAGACCACCATTATTGGTGATAATGAGTCACCCTGTTTAAATATCAGAAATAAATAAACAAATGAATAAATGTATCGACCACAACTAAATGTTGTAGTGTATCTGACGGTTGTAGCAATTTTCAAGCCCTACTAGACTTTGGATCAGACCATATATCAAGTAAACTAACACTTTTAGTGTTCATATATATTCATAACATCATAATATTTGGTAACGTATTGGACATCATTATGACAAAATACGTTGCCCGGCTGCAACATAAACCTTGTAGACTAAATACGCTTTGTATTTGGTTCTTACTAAAATGACAGAAAAGTAGTAATGATTTCATACATTTGGACACGATTTTAGCTTTAAAATCCAAACAGTAAGCACAAAGTGGGAAAAATGCGAAGAAGAAAATAGTTAGGGGTAAAGTTTGTTATAAATTTTTTTTTTTTTAAATAATATCATTTAAATGAAAATCTTGAGTGAGTGAAAACTGTTACGGTGTTGATGGTCAGCAGATTTATGTCAGGTTTCACATAATTTATAACAAAAACGGAGGACTGGATGATTCTTTTCCTTCTGACGAGCATAGTTTGTTATTTAGAAAACAACGGTGTCACTAAAAATGACATTAAACTGTAACAATTTAAAAATATCATGGACCGCCAAATTGTCTGTTTGGAGTCTGAAGGGTGTTAACTTGGTGTTAACTCTGTGAAACATGCTATGAGCTAACAGATGAGTAGTTTACTTGTTATATTCTGATGCTACAATCGTTCCCATGTGATATTAGTGTGATGGATATGGACGGTGTATGAAAGGAACACTTGAGACTGACCCCTGGTTACAGTTCGCTCTCAAAACGCAACGAGAAATTCAGGTGAGAAATTGCCTTATTCAACATTGAAAATACAACGAGTATTATAATAATGATGATAATGTTAATGATAATGACAACGGGGGATTGACATAATAATGATAAGGGAAATTACTTGCAGTGGTGATAATACTGGTAGCTTTGGTACAATGTACAGTTGACTAAAACTTTCAGAAATTTTGAACTTAAAGACGATCTTTTTTCTGCTTAAAAAAAAAGTTACGGCACCCAATCAAAATTAACTATCCTTCAAAATTACAATCAACTTTTATATGTTCATGATCTTCAAGATCCGTTCTATAAATATTGTAGAATTCACCATTCAATATATCATTTTATTCAAAATGTTATTGATCTATTGTTTTCTCTAATAATATCTGGTTCTACATGGAACTTCAGGCTATGCCATTGATAATTCATTACAACTGATTCGTCTGCAAAACCCAATATCAAAAACTCATGTCGCATTTCGTCCTTGTTCCTTGTTGATTTTATATAGATTGATATTTCTATCGACAGGATGCAAATCTTTGATGTAAGTTCACCATTTCTAATTAAATTCAATCATATTACGTATTTGATACAGATTTTAGTTATTTTTTATTTTCAAACACAACTCAACTCAATTTAATTCCACCAGGGTGTATTAAAACATGGCTGGTAGTCAAAGACTGAATTATACATGTTTTTATACGGTACAAGTAAAATACAATATATATACAAATTGTAACAATAACACAATATGTAAAACTGAATGTTAAAGCTACACCAATTAGATTACATTGATAATATTGTAATTACGAAATGAAGACAGGCAAAGTTTATCACATTGGACTGTCTGTGTTTGTCATAACATCATTAACCACATGCAGATATAATTATTGCCTAAAGTCCAAATATGATATGAGAGATGATTGCGAAGGTTTCCGGTCCCCTTGTTGTTTAGTAAGTGTTGTACATTGAATTTCGTTTTGGGATATGTAAGTACTCGAGATTGCGTTGTATAGATTACTCTAATTTATGTTACTAAAGAGGTAAAGAATATGCAGTTTAGCAGTGAAGAACATGTTTTATACGACTACATGGATAATATTTATGTTTATAAAATGGGTTCAAGAATGAAGCCAATGAGAATCGTCGAAATGGATCACGTGTGCGTCCAATAATTGTTACCGTATGCACGGGGAGTGCATTTTGGTGGTAACAACCGTCAATTTCTCGACTTTATACTATTATTGTTAGACCCATCTTATAAAACAAATAACACATGTTTTTAGCTCGTACATTAGTAAAATGCACTACACTTGGGTTAAATCTAATGAGAGGTACAATGAACTCGACAAGTCTCGTTCAATAACATCCGTGCAGGGCATATTCACTAATGTACTCGCAAACATGTATTATTTGTATATTATTATATAATTAAAACAAAATGCTAGTGCATCCGCAAGCCTATACTGTATAAAATGCTAGTGTTTTAAATGTTAGTACTTGTCATCTTCACACAGGCTCATAATGCATTTAACAATCGAGCTTACGGACTTGCCTATGGAGGTATGTAAAATAATATTTAAAGCAATCTTTTCAATCAAAAAAAGTCATAGATGTTATGTAACATAAAAATTGGGCTTTGCTTCTTTTGAATAGACACACAATCATAAAAGTATATTTGTAAATAAGCTAAGTCTGGAAGTGGCTCTAGGAGGTTTCCAAGATGGCACCTTACTCCTCCCTACCCCTATCTTCACATTGCACCAAAATGGACAACTTAAAGGTATCATTTCAACAAAAGCAACAAAAATGGGGGATTAGAAATCTGACGTGTCTTTGAAGGTAGATCCGAAATACAGAAATAGATCTCTGTAATCGCTACCAGTACCATATTATGGTACACGTTACTTTGTCGCTATCGTCAGATTTTAAAATGCAGTTACTGAATAGTGTGATGATAATAGGTCTATTCAATGTAACCTTTGCACCCCAAAAATAATCTTTATCCTGTCTTCTAGCAAATGATACATGTCAATGGCCGCCACCGTATGATAACGTCTGTTTGGGATTGGCCAATCATGAATTCAGTATCATCGACATGTTAAACATGGGAATCAGAGCTGTGGAAATAGACAACTGGTATTGCAATGGTGAGGTAAGCACGCTGAGAATACATTTATTTTCAATCATGAGCTCAGAGGCGGCGCTCTCGGGGGCGAGATGGGGGGACACAGTGCTCCCCCCACACTTTTTCAAGTTGTGCCCCTCTTCCTTCGACAAGTTACCCTTCTCCTGTGTAAAAGCCCCTTTTAACTTCTTATAATTGCCCTTTTTACTTTGACACGTGATCTTTTTCAGTTCTTATCCTTTTCCCTTCTGAGTTGTGCCCAATTTCCTATCTCCAAAACATGTACCCCTAATTTAAAGCGATTTAGAGCAAATTTTCGCAAATTTTACACAACGCTCGTTATCAGTCTTCCAGGATGAGCTTGTGCTTAAAACCCATCAGAAATGTTTTTTCCTTTTTAAAAGATCTAATTGGTCGCAATGCGACCTCACAAATCTTAAATGATTATTCAGACCATCACATCGAACTGCAAAGCATAATGTTTAAGCAGTATCTTGAGGTCTTGAGATGGCTCTTTCCCCATAACTCCCTGGTGGGTAGCAACATAATGAAACGCCCAATCCCCTACCAACCCACTCTCCGCTGACACCCCTCATCTTCATATTCTCCCTCAGATAGACGTCAATTAAGACTCACCCAAAACTTTGGATCTCTTGGACCCAAAGTTAATTATTTTTAATTTTCCGCCGAACTTATTGCGGAGCTTGAAACTACAAAGAGAGAGAGAGAGAGAGAGAGAGAGAGAAGGGGTTGGGAAGATGGAAGGAAGAGAAATAGTGAGAGTGTGATGGAGTTAGAGAGAGACAGAGAGAGGGAGGAAAGGGGGAGGGGAGAGCTAATGCTAATTGATATACGGGGACACTCAATCATGATAATCGAGAACACCTGTTAAAGAAGTGAAGGAAAGGTGCTTATATTCTGATCCTTAAATACTGCCCATCTTGGTCAGGCACGCATTTGTTAATACACAACGTGTTATTTTCACATATTTTTTTTAACTCCAAAGCGTTAACACTATTTGAATACAAAAATATATCTTTAGAAATGAATCACCAATAAAATATTTTACTCCTTTCTTATTTAGATGCGGGTTGCACATTTAGGAACACGGCGTGCCATAGGTTGCGGAGAGTTCAACGTACTCTTTTCTGACGTTATAGCAGACATTGGCCAATGGATGCACGAGCCTGAAAATGAAAATGAGTTTATTCGAATCTATATCAATGTACGAATATAATGACTTTATGAGAATTTTTTTATTTAATGAGTTTGCATATTTTTGGATTGCAATCATGTATCCTTCGAATTTGTTAATAACGTTGTGTGAAAAACGAATCACCAATCCATTATTTTGACCCAAAACGAATCGATTTCATTTACTTCTGAGTTTACCCCCAAACTGGAAATAATCAGGAACATACTTCGTCAACTATTTCCAATATGAGACATTCATGATTCATCAAATGATTGTATGAATTTTGATGCATTAATGAAATGAAAGTTCAAACAATAAAATAAGCCAAGGCTGCCAACGAAAATTTAAAGTTTCTCTTAAAGTTTCCTGAAATAAATGTTATTACATCTTCATGGCATACTTATCTAAATTCTTCACACTAATTATGCCTACTTTTAAACTTAATATATTTTGGGCTTTTTTGTTAATAAAGGAAAATTATGACCAGGGTTTCGATGCTGAAGTGAATGGTCCACTGGAGCGTTATCTGGGTCATGATGAGATCTTGAGTCCTGCTGATCTAAGGGATACATACAGAGGGGTGTTGCCGACGCTGAGAAGAATGAGAGAGGTGAGAGATAGGCCGAGGGTGTAGCCAATCTAGAGATACTCATCGAGTAATGGTTTAAGAAAGGTAAATAAGGGGATAATCAATTAAAGTTACGACCGTTTTTAATTTCTAGTTTTTCTTTAGCTAAAATAGGTATCCCTCTCGGATATATTTGTTTCCAAACATTCTCTTTACGTCATCAACTTCCTCGTCCTCCTTCTCCTTCTTCTCCTTTTTCTTATTCTACATGCACCCATTTTTGTTCTTCTCCTTTATCTTATTCTTTCCTTCTCATTCTTCATCTTTTTCCTCCTTTTTTAATTATTGTTCATCTTTTCGTTTTCAACTTCTCATTTCTCTTTCTATTCCATTACCTCCTTCATCTTACTTCTTTTCCCCCTTATTCTTTCTCCTCCTTTTCATTTTCTTTAACCAATTCTCCTTACTCGTCTTCTTTTTCTTCATTTTTCATTAATGATACGAAGAGCAGACCGCTTTCAGCGATATTTGGTTGAATGTTTGGAATGAGAGGAACATTACTTTTGTTTTCAATTATTTGTGTCCATCAGGATGGTAAGAGAGTGTTCGTGGTAAGCGGGGGTAATACCTTACACCAAGGTAAATACATCCATGTTCGGCAGTGTGACGGTTCGGGAGAGAATGAGGTAAGAATTTTGTTCAATATCCTACACCTAAATGAACAAAGAGTTCCTTAGTTGCAAAAAGAAAGGCCTACAGTGTGTCCATAGTGTAATCATAAGGTGCCATCCACGTATCAAAACACTTTTTATACACCATGTGATACCTTTGGTCACACAGTGACCCCAAAATACACTGTGTGTAACCATTGCTAGCTACATGTAAAAAGAAGAAAAAACGAGTGCCTAAGTGCACAGTGCAGGTCATACTGTGTGTCTCTTTATGTGACCATAGTGTGTCACATTAACCATGTTCCTGTGTCACACAATGTTATAACGGTTTGATCACAAAGGGTTCACATATTTAACACCACGAAGGTGTGAACATCCACACCACGGGTTAAAATGTTATGTTTACATTTTGTGAGACTCTCTCTCTCTATCTTTTTCTCTCTTTCTCTCTCTCTCTCTATATGGCTACAGTGTACCACACTGTGTCGTATAATGTTAAAATCGTATGATCACTGTGTTTTACAAATAGAGCACCACAGTTGTCCAAATATGCTGTGCCATCACATAGTGGTTTATACATTATAATATCTTTTTACTGTGAACAGATATTTCGGCATAATGTTTCATTCACTTTGTCGTCACACTGTGTTACAAATTGTGAATAAAGTATTACATAGTGCGTTAACAATACATTGCGTTCAAACTTACACATTTGCTCCAAATCCAACATGTTACTCTGCATTTCTGTTTGTGGCGACCAGCGAAATTGCGTATCACTGTGTCACACAATGCAAAACCAGTATATCCATAGTGTGTTCACATATTCCATACATTTAAAGTATACAAATATGCTTTGTGGTTACAATTTCATACTTTACAAGTAGGCTATAGAATGTATACAGTGTTTGACACTGGCAACTCTGCAAATAATTTTCATATCCTTCTTATGGAAGCCACTGTGGTGCGTACATTCCTCCACTCTCGTTGTGTCCACAGTGTTTATCACTGTGTCACGCAAGTATTGTAAACACTGTGTTACCACAGTTGTTTTTATACCGTTAACACCACAGAAACGTGCATGAACTGTACTGTAGTCTGAATTGTGTGATCACATTCAATGTATCCAATAGTAGGTTATTTCAACGCTACAGTTTACCATGTACCACTCTTAACTATCTTCATTGTGTTTTCTAGTTCACCAACTACCCACAGTGTGGCGGCAAAACGGAGACATACTGCAGGAGATTTCGCAGTGACGCCACACATTACGTGTAAGTTATGGATCTTCTATCAGACCAGTGTCCTATTTTCAGATTAAGATTCGTATATTCTACCATTTTCAAATAATCTGTATGATCTTACTCCCATGATTTTATAGTACTATCATTAATCTAGCCTAGAGTAAATGGGTAACCAACAGAAGAAACTTGTTGGGAGAAGTAGAGAAGAAGACCTAATTTTATCTCTCTGAAGTTTTATTCAACTTTGTTTATTTTTTGATGGGGGTGGCACTATTTGGGACTGCTTTGGAATGTTTTTGCAATCGGAATTTATCTCTTTCATTTTTACCCATAGTCGATGGTACTCCTCATTTATAAACGTGTGACATAATAATGTGTTATTATTCCCTCTTATACTCAAAATTGTCTGTCGAAATTGATACTTTCAAGCAATAATATTCCAGAATATGCCCTATTGAATGTAGCCTTGAATACTTGTCTCATTGACATTACCTTAATTATTTTGATAAACCACTGTAATATCCATATCTTTTATAAATTTCTAAAACTTATATGATCAATATCATTCATTTATGATTTTACTATTGTTATATTGCTTTTGTATTTTGATGTTAAGACATTATAATATAAATATCTGATTACTTTGTAAAACAGACAATATCAGTCTTGAGCTGCTTGTCATGTTGTTTTTAATATACAAATTAAATTTAATTAAAGATAATACATAAAGATGTTTTTAAAGAAAATAGTTCTTCACGTATTCTTCACAATATCAGCTCATGAATAGTATATTTTTATTGGTAGATGCTACCTAGAGTTTGCAAAATATTAAAAGCCTTGCTACCCGAAAATTATTGATGAGTTTTTGTCTTTATTTAGATTCAACGTCATCTATGATTGGCCTTCAGCGACCGGTGCAATCACCGATCGTATGTCCGCTCAGAATTATCTACTCGCTATATAGACCGCGGAATCGTTCAAAACCGTGAAAATACGGGCATGCCGGGCGACAAATATTACAAATTATTACCTATAAAAGGCATTTTAGCCGCTAAATAAAAAGTCGTATTTTGCACGCTGCTCCGAATATTAAACCGGAGCGGTGAATATTTGACATATTGCCCTCTTCCGGGTGAAATCAGATGGACCGGCAAACAGACGGGAGTAAAAATCAAGCTCGATACCAAAGTTGTATAGGCCCCTATCAATAATTTGCTTAAAATGCCTTGTTTAGGTAATAATAATTATATTGACAGGGCTTCTTTCGGGGTACATCAGAAATATTGACCGCGCTAAGACCATATTGCCCTCGTCTTCGACTCGGGGCAATATGATCTTAGCTTGGTCAATATATCTGATATACCCCTCAAGCCCAGTCAATATAATATAAATATCATCATGAGTAAGATTTTTTAATTTTTTATTAAATGCTGTACCTTTTGTACCCAGATTCGGCGCCATCTACGACGGACCTACAGCGACCGGTGCCATCACTGATATGAGTGAGATGGTGAAATGTCGTATCAATCTTATTGCTACAGATATGGTAACCCCTCAACTCATGAAGACTGGGGTCTATACGTGGGCCTATGGAGAACCATCATTACAGCTAGATGACGACTCGTGTGTTGTGTTAAAGTAGGTACATTTCTAAAACATTGATGGACAGAAAATATATCTTACACTTGTTGTCGTGTTTGTATGTTATTTGAACTCAATCCTCTGAAAGAACTGAGAAAATAATAGGCACCAAACTATAAATGAGCTTAAAACCGAAGCTACTTTAAGCATTTTTCTATACTCAAGATTGTAATTTTCATTGTAAAATGTTTGACAAGCAGTTGTATGATCAGTTAGAAATGATAATCATGTCAGTGATTTGCTCAGGTCATGTACAAATTAAATCAACAAATCACAACAGAGAAAAGAAAGAATATGTCGAACCACAGAAAGACCTTAAGCTCGGTCAATCCGCGAATACGACTCAACACCGACATTAAGCCGACTGATTCTTGGCTATAATCGGGTACTCTTTATTAGGCTTTGTGTCGGTCTGATGTCCGTCTCGTTGGTGTAACTTGGGTATTAGGCCACTCTATCTGGTTTTACCTGGGTCTCTTGGGCATAAACCATTTGGGAAATTATCAATTCAGTAAAAAATCGAAAGCCTTCATCGATCTATCGGAGAAGTCATCCATTTAAGATGTCGGTCAAAATTCCAGTATATACCATAAGCATCTGTGATTTTTCAATAACCATTTTAACAAACATAAATCGTATAATTAATGCCTGGTACACGTTTTCGTTCACATCACAGCCACGAAGACTTTCGTTGGTATACGTCATCTGATTGCGACCAATCATTGAGCTACGCGTGTCAAAGTTCAACGGATCCAAATGACTGGTTGGTCAGCGAATCTACCGCCCCCTATGACGTCACGCTCGATTTGTGTCCCATTGGCTACAAGTTCAGTCTACCTCACAATGGATTCAGACAACAGAAGGTTAGTGGTCTACAAATTTGTGAGTGGTAAGGGGTGGATATAAGATTTTGTTATCCGGAGGGGGATTTACAAAAAATGATGTGCAAAAGAGGGTAGAAAATAAAAAGGATAATGAATTAGCGCGAAACACAACTACAATGAAGAGAATTTGAACGTGATTTTAGTTGGGGTTGTAATGGTTGTACTATAATATCCCTTCATATTTGCAATTCTATTCGTTTGTTTGTTTGTTTATTTCTATTTTTTTTTTGTTCCTTTGTAGTTGAAGGAGGCAATGAAAGGATCTTCTGTATGGCTAAACTTTACACCTTGGCTGACGGGTAACTTTCCCGTGACAGAAACCCCTCTTACCAGCCCCTCGGGAAACTCAGCATATAACTTTAAACTCACTTGGACCTCTTCTTTAGTCGTATTTCTTACTGCGGATGTTAGCTTAATGTTTTAGGGCAACGTTTTTCAACCTGGGTGCCGTAAGACATCTCCAGGGGTACCACGAAAGCAAAGTGCCTGAATACCTCCATATTTGAGCGACGAGGTGCCCGAATAGCCTTCTATTTGACAGCGAGGTTCCTGAATATATTACATCTTTTATATCAACATTACATTTTGATCACGCTCGTTCACTTCACTCACTCGCAACATTTAAAAACAGGATAATTCTGAGCAATGAGATGCCCGAATCTCTTCATATTCGTGCATCGAATAGACAGCATGAAATGATTTGTGTATTCATGTATTCTGTCACGGAGAGCCCGCATATATTTAATTATGTGCTTCATCTATAGTGTGCTGATTATAAAGTAGAAATTGATCATATCAAATCATTCTTCTTTTTAGCTCGCTTGCTCGCGAAATTTAGAAACAAAATGTGTAGATAACACTTGACAAGTGTCAGAGTGATGCAAATTGAATATTCTGTAAATAAATTCGGGATTGGGTGTCCTATCTTTAAATATTTTATTGTGTAATTTCATCCAAAAAAAAAATACTTATTAAATGTTGCATAAAACAGCCTGCCATTCTGAGATTCTTTTTAGTTGACTTTTCATGTAATGAGATTTAAAATGTCGAAATATTACGAATTGTCTATTATTTTATGGAAGTGAATTACAAATGAAAAGCCCCTGATTTAAATAAATAAATATAGAAACGTTAAAAAAAATACATATTCGTAAACTTTTAACATTTTCTTGGGTAAAAAGCAGGTGTCATCATTAATGGGACAGAGAGGCGGAGAGATGAGGAAAGAGTGAAAGAAAAAAGGATTGGAGATGGAGAGGAGGAAGGAGAGAGGTGCAGTTAGCGGGGGAGAGAAAACAGGAACGATTTAAAATGGAAAGACATGAGCGAGAAAGAGCGAGAGAGAAAGTGAGAGAGAGTGTGTGTGAGAGAGAGAGAGAGAGAGAGAGAGAGAGAGAGGGAGAGAAGGGGGAGAGCGATGAAAAATGAACAGTTATAAGAATTAAAATCATGTCGTATATAGAGACTACAATACGGATTTGTTATCAAATTTGCTCTAGAATTAATGTATATGAAATGGTATAGGAATTTACATAGAAGCATAGATTTCAAGGGTATCCTATATCAGTGTATTATGTGTGCATGGCAATTGTTTAAAATGGCACACAAACTTAGAGAAGTTTGGATTTCTTCTTAACATTTTTTGGGAGTTCCTAGGTTCGAAACCAATCCGATGCGCTAGTGCATTCATCCTCATTACCAAGTGCCTCGGAGAGGACTTAAAGCCATTGGTCCCCTGGTTGCTTTTATACTTACAAGCACGCACATGGTTTCTTAGTAGAAAGGTAAAAAAAAAACATCAACCATCAACCTTATTTTTCCAATAAAAGAGACGGTCATGGTAACTTTGGACCCGTTATGCTTTCTTATATGATGAACAGAAATATACATAATACTAATTAAGTTTCCCTCACGAGTTGACGAATCAATTTTTTTTTGTCCCTTTTTTTTTTTTTTTTTTTGATTTTTTTTCCATTTTCAGTTGCGTGTTGCTATTTTTTTGTACTTTTTGTTGATCGTTCAACATCATGGTATGGATAGGGATTAAAGGTTTAGGTCCACGTTCTCCTAACCGCCATATGATATGGAGTATCATCGCACTTATATATCGAATAAAACATACTCCACATTGATTACAGTTACTGGTTGGAAAGAAACATCTATTTAATCAAATAGCATTCATAGTATAGATTATGACTTTGCCTTGAAATACCGTCCAAACCACGAGAAATGAAAACTGAATATTTTCCGGAAAATGCGGGACATTTCTTTTAAAATTATAAACATATTTTCCATGTTTCAAGAAAAAAATATTGTAAGTTGCGTTTACATAGTTACATATCCTGAAAAAAACCCCAATATATTCATGAGATGCGAGTCATGTTACCGGATCTCTATTTTTGATCTTCCGGTAAATTCCACGTCATGTTGTGCAAACAATGGATTAATACAGCAGAGTGGTATTATAATAGTGTTTGGAGGGTTCATTCAATCTATGAAGGCCTTGATGTTGAAACACTAATCTATGGTAGTTCTCTCATGAATACTTATGCAAAACAATGTTGTAGAATTGATACTGGCCATATTATAGTAGGAATCGTAGCAGTATATAAAAGGACTAGTCGCAGTAGTAGTAGTATAATTGTAGTAGTAGTGGTAGTATAGTAGTAGTAGTAGTAGTAGCAGTAGCAGTATTAGTAGTAGTAGTATAGTAGTAGTAGTAGTAGCAGTAGTAGTAGTAGTAGTAGTAGTAGTAGTATAGTAGTAGTAGTAGTAGCAGTAGTAATAGTAGTAGTAGTAGTAGTAGTAGTAGTAGTAGTAGTAGTTGTAGTAGTAGTAGTAGTAGTAGTAGTAGTAGTAGTAGTAATAGTAGTAGTAGTAGTAGCAGTAGTAGAAGTGGTAGTATTTTATGTGGTCAGCAAGTAGGAGATAGAGCCACCCCTCCCCCCCCAAAAAAAAAAAAAAAAAAGAAAAGAAAAATCCCCCACCCCGATCAAACGATTTTCCGCTTCTGAATCATTAGGGAATAACTTTACAATCCTGACAAAAAATGCAATTAGTACAGTCTGTAGTATACTTTCATTCGTCTAGACTTATCTTCTCGACTTATCTTTTCAAATTCATGTTATTCGCCGCACTGTCATTTCTTGTCTGTACAGTATCGTAATTCATTAGAAATGGTTTTTATTAAAATGATCATCGCAGCCAATGGCTGAATTGCGATCCATTTCACAAGGTTATATACAATACAATTGCAATTCAAATTGAAATAACACAAAATATGACATAAATCAATAATAAAACATATAGACATTTCATAAAAATTCATTGATCAAATTCAAATTTTTGTTTAAAAAAAAGAAAGAAATAGGGAGAGGTGTAGGAGAGGGAGAGTTGGAGTGCTGACAAAGAGAGAGAAGGAGAGAAAGAGAGAAAGAAAGAGAGAGAAGGGGGACGAAAAAGAGAGACGGAAATAGAGAGAGAGAGAGAGAGAGAGAGGGAGAGAGAGAGAGAGAGAGAGAGAGAGTTGAAGAGAGGAAGAGACAGACAAAGGGTACCTTATCATTACAGATGAGGGGAGATGGCAAGAAATATTCAATAATGCAGAAAATTGAGATAAAAACTATCAAAATTCATTTACATAGTTCAATCATGGACTGTGAAATTCTAAAAATACAATTTATATTGGTATTACATTTTATTCAGAAGATTTATAAAGTAAGGAAGAGAGCTGCACTGGAAGCGTTTTGTTTTACATCGGTATTGTTTAAACTTTGATTGAGATCTTAGAGCATAAGTGCTTTGTTGTCTAAGAGGTAAACATTCTTTAAATTGTGGGTGTTTGACAAGTGCATTGGCAAAGTCTATACATAACTGCTCACGTCTTGCTTCTAATGAACGTAGATTGCACGTTTCCAATGCTGCTTTATAATTTTCATACTGACGTCCTAAAATGATTTTGCAAGCTCTTTTTTTAATATGTTCTGAAATATATACATGAGTTTTTGTTAAATTACCATTGAAAACCGGTACCCCATAATCTAAAATGGAACGAATGTATCCTTTATATATAAGTAAAAGGTCATCTACAGGCAATCCATACTTCTTAAGGCAACGAAACATAAACAACTTCCTATTACACCTTTTTGTGAGATCGGATACATGACTATCCCACTTTAGGTTTGATTGTAAAATTATTCCGAGGACTTTGGCTTGATGAACATAAATTCATTCTTTGTCGCCAATGAAAATTGAAGTTTGTTCTTCACAATTTTTATAAATGTTATAACCATAGAGAAACACTTGGACGGATTCAGTAATGAAACATATGGCGTTGATTATTTGAAAACATAAAGTAATGAACATGATTAACAAGAGAGTGAGAGAGGGCAGCAGTCAGGAATAATAAACCTCGCCGAAGAAATCTCGCCAAAGGAGGCTAGAGCGTTGTTTCATGTAAGTGTGACGCCCTCATTTTTTTTTAAATTGTTGTCTTCTTTATGTGTTTGCTATTTTGTAGTTAAAGTAGGCAATGAATGATCTTCTGTATGGCTAAACTTGACACCTTGGCTGACGGGTAACTTTCCCGTGACAGAAGCCCCTCATACCAGCCCCTATGTATCAAACTAAAGTACACCAACAAGCAGGATATCAAGCGATGTGTTTTCCTGTGTACAATATAAATATATACTCATTTACATTAGTTGTGTCATGAGCGGTAATTCGAGTGCAGCGTTAATCAATGTGTGAAGAAGGGTTTGATTTTCTTCCTGAAAAAGATACAGGTACCTTCCTTTTTAAATTTGAACCCATTTCTTATCACCAATGTAGTAATGTAACAAATCACTATGACGCCAAAAAATTAAACTCTCGAAAATTCATGCAAGGCAAGGCACACGATGCGATAGTGCACTTGGGTAAAGCATTCATCATCATTGCCAAATGCCTCGGAAAGGACTTAAAGCCATTGGTCCCCTGGGTAGCTTGCACTTACAACCACACACATGGTTTCTTAGCTGAAAGGTAACTCATAAACCATCAACCATTGATAAAAGAGACGGTCAAGGTAACTATGGACACGTTCTGCTTACTTATTTATAATAAACCTACATGAATTATTTAGTATTATTAAGATGTTGATATTACTGTAAACATGTTAATGTTATCATTAACATGTTAATAATATCAATATGTTAATATCATGAATTGACATTCCCTCATGAGTTGACCAATCAATTTTTATCTTTTTTTTTGAATTTTTCCTCTTATTTTTTTACATTTTAGTTGCGTTTTTCTATTTTTTTGTACTTTTTGTTGATTGATCCACATCATATGTTTAAAGGGCATAAGGTCCACGTTCTCCTAACCGCCATATGCTAATGAGTGTCACCGCGATTATAAACAGACTATAACATACTCCACCTTAATTACGGTTACTGGTTAGAAAGAAACATTCCATTTATTTATATGGTTATGAGTTTACCTTGAATTACCGTTCATTAATACGAGAAAATAAAAACTGAATATTTTCCGGAAAATGCGGGACAGTTCTTTCAATGTAAAAAACATATTTTCCATGTTTTAAGAGAAAATATTGTAGGTTGCGTTTGACTTTACATACAGTAAACATATACTGAAAATTAATATTCATGAAGTGTGAATCACGTTACCGGATTTCTATTTTTGATCTTCCGGGGAATTCCACGTCAACTGTGCACACAATGGATTGATACAGCAGAGTGGTATTGTAATCGTGATAAAATGTGGAAAATGTAGCGATGATCTTTGTTCATTCTATCTATGTAGATGTTAAAACAGAAATATAATGTACAGTAGGCTTGCGTTTGCACCATGTGAGGAGGGGGGGGGGGATTATATATGGTAGTTCTCTTCATGAATGCTTATGCAAAACAATGTTGTAGAGATATTACTGGTAATATAGTAGGAATCGTATTATTATCAGTAT